CGACAGACGTACCTCCCCCAGCCCCCCCCCTCACCTACATCGATCAGGCTGGGTTTGTAAACCCCCACCACCCGCCACACCCTTAGACTTGGCCAGCTCGTATCAAGAGCACAGAATCCAGGAGTGCTCCATGGGGGGTGTTTTACTGGGACAGACTGACCTCTGGGAAAGAGAGGGAGAGATGGAAGAACAGACACCCAAGGGCTCTGTGTGGTGGTGGTGATGGGGGGGGTTACTGAGAGACTTTAAATGAGTCACATGTGGGGTGTCTGGCTCTGGGTCATTAAAACGGCCATTTCATGAGTATCAAACACATAGGACGGCAACAGGAATAACTTAAATGTGGGTTTGTTGTATGTTGAACACAATATTTATTATCACTGTATCCTGTTTTTTCCTCTGAATAATTATAATTACTACCCAACTGCTTTATTACACAACCTACTCATAAATCCGACATTGTTATTAGCGGTCAGACAGCAAAGCGGTAGTGACTGGCTGATTGGATTGTTGCTGTATGAACTACAGATATTAGGGATGCAAGTAATATTCTGGTAACGAGAGGCCAGAATAGCTGTGGTTTCATCAGTGACTTATTGTGAGGCTAGCGCTCTGCTGAGAGGGTGCTGCGGGGTGGCGTGTGAACGGTCCTGCTGTTAGTGGGAAGGATGCTTTTGATCCTCTGGTGGTAGATGTACACAATCCAAGGAGAGCTGACCCTGCCCTATTGATATGGACGGCAGTGGAGGTTCTACAGTCATGTTTCGCCGTGTAGACTAATCCTGTAGACTGCAATGCCACTCTGTTTTTTTTTTGTCTCCCTTTGTTTCAAAAGGTCGTCATTCAGCCGACTCCTATCGGGCGGCCTTGCTGCCAAGCCTGACTCTGCCTGTGGCATTTATACAGCTTAATTATTAATACGCACTCTCTCAGGTGAACTCTGGCAGTCTGCGGGCCTTGTTTTGTAGTCATTAAAATTTGAGCTTGTTTATATTATTGAAGCCACTTGCACCCTCCCTGAGTTGAAGGCGCCCGCAGAGGTTCCCGCTTTTCGTTCCTGCCTCGTTTTTTTTTTCCGAACGTAGCGTGGCATTGGTGTGGCACTGAGGATATGGGCCAATGATGAATTCAAGGTGCAAAATACCGACGTCTCCCGAAAAGCCCCAAGCGCGCAGAGGTTCGAGGGCTTCCTGCAGGAGGGCCGTGCCATGCGGGGGTTTACAGGATCGGGATAATGAACCAAAGGTTCCCTCCGAGAGACAGCATGGGTTTCATCGGGTTTTATTTCAGTGTGGAATGTTGCTTAATCAAGCCTGTGTGTGTTCTGTGTTTTTCACCCTGTCAGCCAGTCGTATTTATGTTCGCTGTCGTCGTCTTTCTCTTGGTCGGCGTAGATTAATTGCAAGTCCACATGAATATTCATGCAGCCTAAACACATAAAGGGACAAAACTTCAGACTAATCTGAGGCCAAGGTTGCTGTTCCCCTCGTGCGACTATCTTTCTCTCACCTTTTGCATTTTACTAGCTGCTCTGCTAAATGATCGCATTAATTCACAGTCAAAGACTAATGGCATACATCTGACGTTATGATTCTGTGGCATGTGTATGTATGTGTATCATTTCCTGATGTGCGCTCTATACGCTGCCATGATTGGCGTCCTGTGAAGGAAATCCACGCGGAAAGTCTGATTCGGTGTTCAGCTCAGATTGCCGACTCCACCATCCACCAGCAGATTGCCGGTTGGCGCGTGGCGCCTTCCTGACCGCGGAGCTCGCTGAGTAATTTCGGAGCCCTGAGCGAATCCCGCAAGTTAGCCGGATGGGCTCCCTAACATGCTTCTTCTCCTTCACAGTCTTTGTCCAGGCCAGCAAGCTGCAGCAGCACATCTTCTCGGCCCATGGGCAGGAGGACAAGATCTACGACTGCTCCCATTGCCCCCAGAAGTTCTTCTTCCAGACAGAGCTACAGGTATGTACATTTTTTTATTTATTTATTTTTTTGCTTTGGGGATTTGGGGGCCTGTCGTTTTTTAGGAGGCATCTGGGTACTCATCCTGGAATGGTGGGAGTAAGGTAATGAGTCATATGTTTATCTTTCAAAAATAGCTTGCAGAGTCTACCAGTAGTTCGCACCTCTTCCAGCACGTCCAAACCCTCGACCGTTAACTGGTACCAGAAAGGGTGGCCCGACTCCCACGTCGTCACAGACATTTCATAGCAAACGGTGACCAAAATTATGACCAGAATGATCTGACAGGGAGATCAAATGCCTCCTGTGAAGAGGGGAACCTTTATCTTTCCTCCCCTATCGAAGGGAAGCGTAACTTCTGGGGCCTGTTTGGCAGAGCAAACCCTGCAAAAGGTAACATCACTTCCAGTGATGCATGACTGTACCTGTAACCTGCTCGGCGTGAGAGGCGCGGTGCCACAGTCTCCCCGATCCTCACTCCAGGCAGCCTGTAGGGAGCGCTGGAAAAGCAGCACAGCCGCGACAGCCGGTGCTCCGCGACGCCCAGCGTTTTCACCTCGGAGGGGGCGCTGGTGGTGGGGGGGGGCAGGGAGGGAGATAAATCTGGGAATATGTGATGACAGTCACCTCAGGAGCTACTGGTTCATTAGAATAATTCATAAATGCGAACGGCCGGCCTCGGGATCTGCTGGAGGATACGGTGACACATGCACGCGGAGGACGGCGGTAAGACGCCGAGATTAACGGCATTAATCACCGGCGGCTGACAGGAGGAGCCCCTTGCCGTAATTATGCTCCTTTCAAAGCAGGAATCAGTCTCTAGGCGCCAGAACGTGAGGCTGAGTCGCACTGTCAACATGCACGCACACGGGCACGTGCACACATGGGCGTGCACAGGCACACGGGCACGTGCACACATGGGCGTGCACAGGCACACGGNGCACACGGGCACGTGCACACATGGGCGTGCACAGGCACACGGGCACGTGCACACATGGGCGTGCACAGGCACACGGATACAAATGCCAGCGGTTCAGGCATTAAGCCCTTCTGGCAGCCAAGGTTATTACACAATTGGTGAAGAAGATGCCCTCATCTTTGGCATGTTTACACATTTCTATTGATTGATTTGTGACCCCCCCCCCACTGGATTTTAAGCCTAAATGTACATGAATGTGTCTGTGTGTCAGCTCTGGTTAATATTGAATGGTTATGCTTGATGAATTTTTAAATTGCACTTGCATAATATCGCACGTGTATTTTACAAACCAGCATTGTGCGTCCAGGTGTCATCTTTTATTTTAATGTCCTAAGTTCTGATTGGTTCCCATTTCTTTTGTCCTTTTCTTCGCATCTGACATTTTCTGACACAACACCCTGTGTGCGAGATAGAAGTGGATCACTGGTGCCAGTGCTACTCCCCCTTGCTGCCCTGTTTGCTGTTTGGCTTTTTTATGAGGGGGGGGGTGGTGGCTTGGCCTCCTTGAAGTAACTTGCCAAGCCTAGTGGAAGAAAAACCAGCAGCATATTTTATTAATTTGCCTCCGAGGTTGTGGATCCGGAAGCTGGGCAAGGCCCGCGACAGGAGATGCTGTCTAATCAACCCACCGAGGACCCCACCTCCCGCCCCCGGCCCTCAGCCATGCTGATCAGTCTCAGGCCTCTTCCACGTGTCACTTGATAGAGGGGGCCTGGATATCTCTCCACTCACACCCCTGTTAGATGCCCCCCCCCCCCCAGCTTTACCCAGTGCGTTTCGACAGGTAGTGGTGTGGATATTTCATGAGAAGCTGTCAGGAAAGGGCACTTAATATTTCAGCAGCTGGTCCGTGTTTGGGATACGATGCACACAAACCCTCCTCCTGAACTTCCAGAGGTGTTGGGGGCTCAAATTTTCCCTTCCAGTCTCCGCCCCCCCCCCCCCACCGCTCCTTTCCTCTGAGTGTTACTACATTTATATGAGTCTAAATGCTCTCATCTCTCAGACGTTGTTTTTTTGGGGCTGGGTGAGTGTGGCGTGCTGCTATTCACTGGAGACTGCTTTGCTGTTAAAAAGAATAATAACAAATTAGTTCATTCCTGAGAAGCTATTTATCATAGATAAGTGGGTTTTTCAGTCTGACTTGTTAAAATAATTCAAAACTGATGTTTTACGCTAGAATTTCGTCTCCCATGTGACACTGTTCCTTAGACTTGTACATCGTCTGGACCAGATGATGTGTCTAAACCCCGTTTGTTTCAGTTTAACAGCATCAGACAGTGAACTCCCCAAATCACAAAGGAGGAGTGGTCCCACCTAAAAGAGACTTGCTTTGTTTATGTGAGGACCGCCCTGGACTGTCTCGACGACCCAGAAGGGTTTGCTAACTCCGAATTGAACGTTAGAGTACAGCCGAGAGGATACTTTGAATGATAGTTCATTTACAATAATGCCAGGACGTAAACATTCCCTCCATACTCTTTAAAGGGACCCAGACAGGATGACGGAGCGATTGAGATAAATACGGATGCCAGCCTGGAGTGACGTCCCCAGCTTCAGAAGGAGCTAGACGGCATGACAGGGCTGGGACTCGGGGACGCCTTTGTTTGGGAATCTGCTCCGCTTTGTCTCTCAAGGACTGGATCTGAAAGGCGCTGTGATACCTGCAGGGAAATCTAGCAACAGGCTTCTGAGAATACTTCCCCTTTAAGTCGCCGCCCAGCACCGTCTCTGTCTGCCCCCTGGAGGTGGAGAGCAGTCAAAACATTTCTTTAATGGGTTTTTTCCCCCGTACCGTGGATCCATATTATCTTTGTTATTATAAAGAGGTATTCCATCAGCAGTGATGAGATTAACAAAAGAAAACCAAGCAGATTAATCTGTTTGCGGTTCGCAGGTGTGATACAGGTGCAGGTCGGGACTGTTTTTATTCAATCATCAAACAGGATTTTGAGGTTTTGTGGAGCTGCGGAACCCGATGAAGTGCAGCTGCCAGGACCCCAGTCCGTTAACATCCCAGCCCTGTCTGAAATCCCTCCGGAATCCTAGTGCCTTAATCCCAGCATCCCCCCCATAAGGTAGCTCACTGGGAACATGATTGATTGTGTGTTTTGTTTTGGTCTTTGTCTGGAGCTCGGGACGTCGGCTAATGACGTCAGCCCATAATTGAGCAGGTGGTTTTTTTCGGGTGGTAATTTCCTCATTTCCTACTCCATCAGTCTCCCTTAATGAGCCCTCTGATAACACGGGAGAAGTTGATTTCGTGGCGCCGAACAGCGGGACCGCCGCCGCGCCAGTTATATGTTTGCGGGCCTACCTTCGCTCGTCTGCTTAGGCAAGGTAATGAGTCTCATTTAGAGGCACACAACAACCCTTGTTAATAGGGCGGTTGGAGGGATCGAGCCCGCTTGAAGAGAGTTCGTGGGTAAATCGAAGGCTGGGAGGGCTTGGGGGGGAGGGGGTGGTGTGCGATGAGAGTGGTGCCTTTGAAGGGCTCCTGGGGGCCATCATGCCGGCTAAAGGGAAAGGCGGCCCGCGTCTAGGAGTAGGCCTTGTGAAGCAGGGGCAGTGGGTAGGGCTGCGGCTGCCCAGTCTGCTGTGTCTCTGCGGGTGGCCCTCAAGGAAAGCCTGAGGATGTTACACGTACCGCGGCTTGTTGACATTGAAATAAATTAGGGCTGATGTTGAAGTTAAGGGTTATAAACCGGGCCCCTTTTTAACAAAAATCCCTGACAAGCTGTTTTGAACAGCAAGTTCCCTTTTAATATTGGTTTTCCTCATCAACACCCATTAGTAGCTGGTTCCACTTACTCTATAATGATTAATATTGTTTATGAAGCATGCACCCCCCCCCCCCAATTCCGCACAATCTGGATGGTGTTTACTTCATAAATGTCCAATGGAAGCATGAGACAGGAATAGGATACTGTAGGATCCACCGAGTGCCTTTCCACGTGTCATTTTCTGATTAAACTTGTGCCTGTAGGCATGCATATAAAAGGTTTAACGAGAGAGAGGGAGGGAGGGAGAGAGGGAAGGAGATGGAGAGCAAGCGAGGTCATGCAGCAGGCTGGGGGCGGTCAATAACAGCACGTTCGGCGAGGCCTGGAAACTCAATCATCTCTCGCAGTGGCGGCCTTTGCGGCAGTGAAGGACGTGTGACCGGTCCGCGGGCATCGAGCGCTCTCACCGGGTGTCTGGCAGCGAGCGCGTTACAGGAATGTTGCCGAAACGCCCCGTTTCAGCTGCAGCACCCAAGGTCCTAAATCCCCCCGGCAACACCTCGATTCATACTCAAATGAGGGCCTCTAATGTTCTTAGTGAGGTACAGGGAGGGTGCAGAGAGAGAAACAATAAAGTAAATAACTGCAACTTAAAGCATTTTGCATTGGATCATCTGAAGGTTCAGGCCTTAGCCTGTGTTTTTTCTTTTAATAGATTTTAATACGCTATGAATCTTTCACGTGTCCTTCAGCACGTTTAGAAATCCTCGTATGTCTGGTCCGGTCCGTTTCCAGTCTGCGGATCCTCCTGCATTAGGAAAGGAAAACATGGTGAAAACAGTAACGCGGCCAAATTCCTTGGCTTGGCTCCGAACTCGATCCCAGCCTGTTGTTCCAGTCTCCCTCTGTGCGTCCAGGGCAGAGCGCCTGTAGGGAAATCCCCCACCCCATCCTCCCCCCGCTTTTACCTCCATGGGTCCCTGGAGGTCCCCACATCAAAGGCGATGGTCAGTTTCCAAGGAGACACAGCGAGCCGTGGTGAAACTGAGGCTGCGGCAGCTGGACCCCCGAGGCTTAGTAAGTGTTGACGATGCAGGATGCCAGCTGTGTTTTTTTTTTAATTTCCTTGAACTTAACTGGACAGCGGTTCCCCTGGCGATGTTTCGGATCAGGAAGGAATTACATCCCCCACCCCGTTCCCCCACTACCACCAGCGTCTCGGCCATAAACTTTAAACTGCTCTCGTTCAGATTGGCACGCTCATTTCAGAATTGCGTTTGGGTTTCTACTTAAAAACGGGACAGTACTTCAGTCCGAAGACACTCCTTTTATCCCCAGACGTTTGAAGATCCTTCATAAGATGTGCAGAAACTTGATCCCTATGCATTTTTTCTTGTCTTGGACAGTGGGTTGGAGGGGGGGGGGGCAGTTACACCACCCTCATTGGCTGCACGAAATGCTTCCCTGCGTTGCCTGCGACAGTCCCATACAAAAGCTTGATAGGGGGCGCCGTTTCTCAGAGGGTGGTTCACAGTGCGGAGCCCAGAGAGAGGCTCAGGTGGGGCGGATCTCTCCGAAAGCTCCTGAAGAGGTGGGCGGAACGATAAAAACTGTCCAGCCCTGGGAGACCCAGCCAGGACTGTGGGAAATCTCCCGCCATGACAGGAGGCAGAGCAGCAGGCGGGGGGGGGGGGGGGGGGGGGGGGNTGTATGTATGTATGAACCAGTCTGGAAATCCAGGAAATGTTTTTGTGTAAACAATCCATCCATCCCGTGAGAAATTCAGTCCCTCTGGTCAGCGGCTCTGCTTCCTTCCATAGCGTCCAGCCCCCGCCCCGAACTTCTGGGACCGCCCCCATCCGGCCGCCGCCCCGGTCTCAGCGGAGGGGCTGGCCACAGATCACAAGCGGGACGCTATTCCCCGCGCGCCACTTCCAGCTGGCCCGGGACCCGGAGTGATGCAAGCGCGCGGCATGGGTCCCGGAGAGCCGCGGCCCTCGCGCGTTACCTCCCCGCCGGGAGGCCGGAACACCGCCCAAGCAGTGTCGCTAAATCCCCCCCCCCCCCCCCCCCCCCCCCCCCGCCCCCAAGTCTCTATGGCCCACGTTTATGCACACAGAATTCAAAGCAGCCCCTGGTGAATGCTAACGAATAGACTCCTCCCTGCCATGCCCCCACCCCCCTAAAATAAAAGAGTGGATGGAGAAACTGACACGAGGGGGAAGAGGGAGGTGGCAAGGAGGACAAGATTCGGGGGATGGAGGAATGAGTCTCATCTAGGTCCTGTACTGTGACTTTACTGTACTGTGACTTTACTGTACTGTGAGCTTTGGTTAATATAAAAGTTTTTTTGTTTTTTCGCCAAAATATGAAGCAAATTTTTTTTTGTCTCAATATAAAACCCCCCCAACTGACTATTCAGTGTAGTTTGTTTTATTGCCTGTGTAACTGACCGGCATGTTATCGCTAAATTTATTGTACAGTGAGTTTTTTTTTAGGTAACGGGAGATTCAGGGGGAGGCCCGGGGTCGCGCCAAGGTCGCCTGCCTCAGGAGGGGGGGCGTCCCTGCTTGTGAGTCTTGGCGGGTCCGGACGGTGGCTTGTGGAGATGAGTCATGTCCGTCCTGGGGAGGGGCAGGCCGGTGCCAAGCCAGCATCCCGCGGCGTGGAAAACAGCTGCAAGCTGACCTCAGTGCTCATGCCAGCCTCCAGTCCGGCCGGTGGGTGGGCGGGAAGGGCGGTCGGGGTAAGGACAGCAGGTCTGTAACCTGTCTGCCTTGTCTTGTACCTCTGGAAGTGCTCATCTCCCTCTTTATGCACTCGTTCATGCTTTGAGCACCATTCTCACCTGTATGTATGTATGAACCAGTCTGGAAATCCAGGAAATGACTGGATATGTTTTTGTGTAAACAATCCATCCATCCCGTGAGAAATTCAGTCCCTCTGGTCAGCGGCTCTGCTTCCTTCCATAGCGTCCAGCCCCCGCCCCGAACTTCTGGGACCGCCCCCATCCGGCCGCCGCCCCGGTCTCAGCGGAGGGGCTGGCCACAGATCACAAGCGGGACGCTATTCCCCGCGCGCCACTTCCAGCTGGCCCGGGACCCGGAGTGATGCAAGCGCGCGGCATGGGTCCCGGAGAGCCGCGGCCCTCGCGCGTTACCTCCCCGCCGGGAGGCCGGAACACCGCCCAAGCAGTGTCGCTAAATCCCCCCCCCCCCCCACTCGCCGGCTCGGAGACGCATTAACGAGTCGCACCTGTTTTCATCGGCGTGGCTTCCGCAGGGTTCCCCGGGGGGGTGGTAGATGGCCGGGGGGGGGGGGGGGGTTGGGTTGAGGGGGGTGGATGCTGCAATATGATGTAATCAGATGAAAGCAAAGGCAACAGCCGGGCTGGTCTGACATGGGGAGGTGGGCGGCTGGCCAGTCCGCGGACGGGCTGAGAGAGACCCGCGACATGGCGGCCCGCGGACATCAGCGTGCTCACCTGTAAGGCCTGTTAAGGGGCGCCGCCGGGGAGCCACGCCTGCTTCCTCAGCCCCTATAAGTGGCCCCCACCATCCAGGAAAAAGTCTTTCATCACTCATTCCGGTGCTTTACGTGCGAGTACATAGGGTGGATATCGGTCAACTGGGACGATTTTTAAAATGTAACTTTCTCACTTTAGAATTGTCATCCTAATTACAAATATTAAAAATTAAAGTTATTGAAAGCTCAAGAAATCCACTTAATACACCGCAGAGACATAAAGGTGTCAAACATTTGTGCCGCAGCTTATCCTTTGTTTTACATATAATCAATATTCACCCTACTTGTAATTACATGTTATTGAATAAATAAACGAGGGTTTGTAAATGTAAATAAGGTATCGGTTTAATAAAAGCGTATAGCGGGGCTGCTCGTCTGAATGTTGGACGGATTCAGTGAGCGGCTGTAAGCAAAGCAGCGCGACCTGACCTGGCCTCAAGGTGGCGCCTGGGAGGTGATGTCGGGTTGGGGGGTGGCTCCGCATGTTGGCAGACAGATGTGAGGCTATAGGTGCGAGGACACGGCAGCGGGAGAGGAAACTCGGTGGCACAGATGTCGCCGGTCGGCGCAGTTACGTCGGCCGGGCCACCCGCTCCGCCTCGAGGGCCTTTTAGCGCTGTCCTTGAAAAGCTGTCCCCGCTGAGAAGCTTCCAGAAGGGGTGGAGGGCAGGCCGTGTCCGCCGGCTCCCACGGGGGCTTATCTTCCGCTCTAATAGCTGTAACCAGCCCGTATTATATCCATGGAGCCACATCCCCAGGGGGGTGACAGCGCTCTGCCATTTGAAGTCACCTTCTGCACTGCAGTCCGGGAGCCAAAATGGCCGCCCCGTTTGTTAATAAGGCTCCGGCTTCTGTCCCGCGGCTCTGCCCGGCCAGGGTGCCAGAATCGGCCACGCCGGAGGGGGTTTTGGGGACGGAGACGTGTCACTGCCGCCTGTCAGAAAGGAGCCCGAGGCTGAAAGGGAGCCCGGTGAGGTGGGGGGAGGGGATGGCCAGTGGAGGGCGGCCCCAAGGGTGACCCGAGTGGGCAGGCCCCCACTATGTGCCGATTGGGGACACACACACACACACACCCACTCGCACATGTAGGGTAAACATATCCTTATGGGGACCGCTGATTCATTTCAATGGGAAAAAGCTAACGCTAACTATGACAACCTTAACCCCTACCCTGCCCTAACCATAACCATAAGTAACCTAACAAAATACAAGAGTTTTTGCATTTTTAGTTTTTTCATAGCAGTCACCGATTTTTATAAAATAGAGTTTTCCCTTATGGGGACCAGGAAACCGGTTCCCATAAGGGGAAAAAAACGGATATTTATCACGTTATGGGGACATTATGTCCCCATAAGGATAGGTAAACCCGCTCGCGCACACACACACACACACACACACACACACACATGTTATGTTTATGTGGCTGGGTCTTCACAGTGACCAAAAAGAACAGGAATCTGCTGTTGTACTTTCCTTAGAGTTCCTTAGAAAGCTAAATGTCTATAACTAGAAAAGGTCTCAAATTAATGTGTTTTATGTTGCATGTTATATTTAGATCTTCAGCTAAAAGGCTCCACTATAATAAATAGTTATATTAATTATATTCACAACAATAATAACATGCCCTATACCCTTGGCAGGACAGGAGGTGTGAAAATGGATGCATGGCCATCTCGGTGTGTTACTGGGCCCCCGTTTGTGCAGACAGGGCTCTGCTCTGCGTCTCCTGACCCCTGGCCCTCTGGGGGAGGAGGGTGGCGAAGGGGGTGTTTGATAACGCCCCTGACAGGTGCCTGACATCTGCCCTGGTTAAATCCCCCAGAGGGCGCCTTCGGCCCAGCGGGGCACCTGGGTTACAGAGCTGCCGGGATTAGCCAGCAGCCGCGAGAAATGACCTGGATTCGGACCCCCGGGACACCAGGCTGCCGTTCACACCTCGCTGTCAAGGGCTGAGCCCAGCCGGGCGGCGTGTGTGTGTGTGTGTGAGTGTGTGTGTGTGTGTTGCTAATGAACTCCGCCCCTGTTGACCTGATCTTCAGCTCCATGCTGCATGCGTGACATTTTTCCTGTTTGTCTCTCCTCTCTCCACCGTCCATTTCTTCTCACCAGTCTTCCCGTGAGCGAACTGGAGAAACACAAACTACAGGAATTAGGCTAGAAATGACATCACTGATGGTCTGACCTTACGTCTGCATTTGCCGGGTCCCCAGTCCATTGCCGTTACTAGACCATTCACTTGACCAATGTGTTCAGGTCCTTTGATTTTAAATAAACTCCTGATTGCTTACCACATGATAACAAACATAGCTATTTTGATTGGAGAAGGCTGCTTCCACTAACCCTCCTGACACCCCCCACCCCATATCACCAAACGGGGCGGGGGCATCCACCTTAAACCTCATCACGGTTGCATGTGACCCCTCCTTCGAAATTAACAGTCATTGTCCTTGTTTTGTGTCCACGCAGAACCACACATCGAGTCAGCATAGCAGCTGACAGGACGAATGGGCTGGCAGACGGAGTGCGGTGAGGAAGAGACGGAAAAGGAAGGAATAAAAGGAGGGGGAAAAAAATGGTCCTACTATGAGATCGTCATTTCTTATTTCTTGAGAAGAATTTCTTGCAGTTGTGGGCAAACTGTGTAAAAACTATGGCTAAAAAAAATAAACAATGGTATGCAGAGCAAAATACGCAAAAAAAAAAAAAAAAGTCAGAATTTCAATGAACAAGCTGACGTGATGTAAATACAGTACTTTTATTATTTTATAAAGCCGTGGACGTGTTTTACATTCCCCCCCCCCCCCCAACCTGGATCCAGGAAAAGCCAGGGGTGGGTTTACCCCTCAGAGAGATGGAGGAGATCTCCTGGCTTTGCTGTTTCTTCGTCAGCGCTTGCCGGAAGATTGTAGGATCATCAGTGACCCGTCTCTCCCCCCCCAATCCACCCACCACCTGTATTGCCCTCCATGCATCAGTCCCATCATTGCCGATACAGGCCACCGGATCCGAAAAGCCAATGGTTTCGCCTGGTCTGTCCCTGTTCACCATGCAGATAGACTGCTGGTCTTACGCCGCCGTTATGGTCAGATCTCCTCACTGGAGAGTGAGTCTCCTTTGATAAGTCCTGTATGTGCAAATCTCCACTCGGTCCAGCCAACCTGTATGCTACTATTATCGATGTTTGTTATCTAACCATGGTCTGGAGATAATGGAATTGTTTTTTGCAATGGGAAATAAATCCAGTTTAACTTCAGCATCTGGCCTGTGTCTGTCTTGTTTTCCCCTCTTCTCCCAGATTCTGACGTTTTCTTTTGGGTTTTTTTTTTTTGTTTGTTTGTTTATTAAAAATCAGTTCACTTGTTTCCTGAATGATTGGTGGTATTATGGGGTATTGCTATAAAGATTATGACTCTGAGTCAAGATGATTTTTTTTTCTGCAGTGTTTTCAAATCAGAGTTTACATAAAATTTGATTCAGAAACAAGTCTGATATGAAAAATGTAATCCGATTGAATCTGACACCACCTTGTTACACCATCCTGTACATTAAATGGTTTGGGAAAAAAAGGCTTTTAAAATCATCCTGGATTTGTCATAAGTTATTGTCACAAACTGGTTATTTTTTTGTGCCTTACATAAAGCGACGTGTGCATCATGGTGAGTCCATTGAAGTGAAATTGTTTGAAGGCGTTCTCTGTTAGCCAACCGCAGTGACAGTGCTGCCCAGCAGAGGGAGCCTGAGGCAGCATCCGTGTCCATGGGAAGGCGGTAGGTGGAAACGGCCGCCTGGTTTGTGCCGCATCTCACCCTGAAGGGGACCGTGTGCCTGGCAGGGCGGACCTTCAAGTCCAAGTCCCGTTTGTCAGAGCAGCAGGGATGGCTGCAGTGCTGACCTCTGTGAAGGTCTGTTTACTGTGTCCTCCTACACACGTTTGTGTGTGTGTGTGTGTGTGTGTGTTTACAGGCAGATCTCATGACGCAAGTAATCCAGCCCACAAACCCTTACGAAAGTCAAATTCTACCTAAATCGGATTTACCTTTCCATGCCTTTCAAGACACCGTACGGCAACAAATGCATAAGCCAAATACATACTAGTGATATAGAATAAAGAGCACATATTTCATGAATGAAAATGTCGGCTTTTCGAATTAGCGTGAACTCGTTACGTGTATCTCGGATATCGTTTTTATAAGTCCAGATTACGCAGGATAGTTTTACACAAGTCAAGAGTTGCGTGTATCCGTATATGAGTTAACACTATGTTCATGCTGTGTAAAACACACTGAATCATCACTCTTCACCATGTTGTGTCCCATGCTAAACCCGTCTGCCATCCTCTGTGCGGTTCCACCAATTTTGTTTTTTTGTTTTTTTTTAATAAACCATGTGCTATATTTCGCTGTGTTCCCCCCCCCCACTGATGAGCTTCTGACCTGGGGGGAGGCTTATGTTATTAATGATGTCATTACCCAGCACCCCATGCAGATTTCTCTGATTGGCCCTCACTCCAGGTCTGTTAGCGATTGTGGATTGGTGGCAGTGGGGGCCTGACCCTCCCCAGGATAAATGCCCCCAAAGTCCTTGCGATGTGTGGCTCACACTCCCACAGTGACACATCTTATACGCATTTTATATGGTTTTTTTTTGGATTTTCTTGCACAAGTCACCTTAAACACCTGCAAGCAGTTGCACATCAGAACTGGTGTTAATGCAAACGTGTGCCGCTAGTGGTTTTGGGCCCCCAAGCCTGGCCAATCCCATTATGTCACATTTTTTAGAGCCCTTGTCACTCAGGGACCCTCAACATCATCCTGATAAGCCTCCCCCCTCCCCCCAACGGCATCCCTGAATGCAAATAATCACATTATTGTTCTTTGAAAACTATAATGTCTTTTCATCAAGATTGACCCAGTGTGTATTTTACATATGATGAGTATAACTGCACCTCTCATGTCTGGGCCCACAAGCCCAATTAGAGAGCTCTAACCCTGGCCCACTGAGATGGGAAATATATATTCACATACAGAATTGGAGGCATCGGATTTCTTTGGTTAAAATGTATGTTGGTCTGGTCTGCAGGAGAACCATGGAGTTAATGTTGTCATGGTCCAGCCCTGGTTCCTGATCGCATACAGTGGTGTTTCCTAATCCGGTCCTTGGTGACCCACAGACAGTCCACGTTTTTGCTCCCTCCCAGTTCCCAATAGGAGCAAAAATGTGGACTGTCTGGCAGGGAGCTTGGAGGAAGCAAAAACATGGACCGACTGGGTCCCTGAGGACCGGATTGGGAAACACTGAGCTCTCTATGCTGCCTCTCTTGGAATCTGTGTATATTCAGAGCAGGTTTTCCAGAAAACCACTAAATCCCTTAACGTTTGTTCCTGTTCGTGGGCTGCAGCACGATGGCTTAAATAGTGAGTGACAGTACTCCGGGTTTGTCCATATTAGGACGTGTGTGAGACAGTATAGACTCCTTTGGAGGTCTTGAAGCAGAACTCCCTCGGAGATTGAAGGAAGTCGAGGTAGCTATGCTGGCGAGCGGCTCCGTTTACTGCTACTTTTCCATCCATTTTCCGTCGTTCCAAACGCTTAACGGAATGCCGGCTTGGAGCGCCAGGAACGACCAGATAAGTATTTGTCGAGTCGGGCGGCTTTAACGAGCTTCAAGGGCGTTTGAAATGGGCCCCAGCTCGAGGCTGCCAGGGCTGGACCCCTCTGCATCATCCATTACTTTAAATGAGGTGGTTACCACGGCTCGTACCGGTGATTTAATTAAGCTTGCCTGGAACGTGCAAATGTTGGACCTGTGATTTTTCCGGTGCCAGCTCTGTGCGTACAAAGCATCGTTTATCCGGCCCGAGAAGAGAATTTGTCAGAATTTGGCAAAGGGGCCTTCTGGGACCCTTTTAAAACCGTTGTAATTATACGCACGCTCGTAGCGTCTCTGACGGGCCATGGATGTGCAGAGATGTCTTTCCCGAATTGGCTCTCGGCAGTGTTATAACCCCACGCAGCCTAGCGTGCCTGATTATACAGGGCTCACTGCGCGTGGTATCATGGCTCTGGCCGTGTAGTTGCTGGCACTCTCCCCTGTGACCTTGACAGCGAATGGCGGTGCATGATTCAAACCGGTAGGTTTCTGGTTCAAAGCTTGCGGACCAGTCACTCTCCACTGAGCCTGACCTGAAATATTCAACTAATTTGTTGTGGTGTAAAAACGCTTCAATAAACTGGACATAATCTTTAGTTATTTTGGACCGTATTTTACACCAAAACAGGCTGCCCCTTTCCGGAACATCCCGAGATCAGAGACTACGGGGGCCTGAGATTTGTATTTGCCTGTGATATGCTAAGATGAACTGATGCAAGGCAGGAGACCAGCCCCGTTCATTATGTACGCCACACTGCTCCTCTGAACACTGGCTGCATTCTTATTTACTTATTTGGCAGGTGCTTTTATCCAAAGCGATGTGCATTTTTAAGGGAAGGCAGGGTCAGACAGTCCCAGGGGCCACTGGAGTTAAGGGCCTCGCTCAGGGGCCCAACAGTAAAATCACTCTGCTGGCCCTGGGATTTGAATCCGTACCATTTGCCTCTCCGTGGTTTCGTTTGGGTTTCACGAAGCTGCTGAGATGGAAGCTCGGCGCGTTTCAGAGACGCCCGCTGCTGGAAGATACTGCTGGATGACAGACGTCGACATTCTCATTTCAGGTGGGGCCATGCAGTCCAAAGCAAAGCCCTCCTCATCTGAGATACCGGCCGCCCATTCCCACTCTTCTTTTCCCAGGACCATTAAGCTGGGCCTGACAATCGGGTGCTCTTTCCAGCCTCGGATTTTCCAGCCATCAAACTGTGACTTTAAAAGCCTCCCGATGACCTAGACATTTACCCAGAATCCACTTCTACTGCGAGCGTTCCTACAGGACATGTGTCGCTGAATAAATTCCCCAATCGGAGCACTTTGCTTACAGATCAAATGCTGCCTTCCCTCCTGCTGCTGCTGCTGCAAAAAAAAACAAACGTGTTTGCGTGAGTTCCCTCCAGGTATTCCGGTTTCTTCCCACATTGCAAAAACATGCACTTATGTGAGCTGGTGTCTCTAAATTTCCCAGGGTGCACCATTGCATGTGTGTGCACTGTGATGGACTGGTATCTCGTTTGGAGCGCCCCCTGGCTCCTGCCCTTTGCCGACTGGGATAGGCTTCAGGCTCACTGCAAGCAGTTATGGAAGACAGATGGATGGTAATAATACAATAACCTGTTACAGGAAGGCACTTTCACCAGTTGTTCTCTGAAGATATTAAGACCATGTGCCCAATACAGTTCTTTGCATCTGGTCCTCAGTGGCCAATTGAAGTGCCGTGCTTGTTTTTTTTTGTCACACTCAGGTAATGTGGCCCTTGGAAGACGATGGGGCCCAGCACTCTGAGGGAGTCATTGCTCATTCAGCCTGGTCTGGACATGCTCCTCTCCAGGCCAGTCGCGCCTCTCACGGACAACAGTCTGCGGCGGTTCCTGTTCGCTAACGGGATTAGCCGCTCGGTTGGTGTTCGACGTCTTTCAGGGGCAGATTATCAAAGGACCAGCCCATAGAAAGTGATACATTTATTATCACATCAGAGGGGAATAGTTTAATGAAAATAGCAAACAACTGTATTGTAAGTAATAAGTGTAGCTTTACCCACTGGGCCAATAGCACCATTAAAATTGAAGAGTTCCCCCAATTTAATTATCTTATAAACTTTGTTTGTCTCTTAAGAGCAAGGCTTCATCAACACTAAGGACATGCATGCATGAAATTTGCATAAACATGCATGAAACATGTAGGATTCACGAGTCTTGTGTGTCATATCAGTCTGTGAGTTGCTTTGAGCATGTGTAAATAATACCTGTGCTGCAAATTCATCCCTGCCAGAGTTTGAGTTATTGACAAACACACACACACACACACACACACACACACACATATATATATATATATATATATATATATATATATATATATATGTATATAGCAAAGTTAAATTGGGTCATGAGATTCCCGAAAATATCCAGATCGTATGTAATTCTTGTGTTCTGTGTCCTGTTTCCTTTTTCCAGGAAACCAAGCAAATAATCTTCAGAGAAAGGCATGAAAATGGTGGATGTTGCAGTTCTAATGCCCATGATAATCCCATCAGGAAAACAAGGGGAAGAAATGACAGGATAATCCCGCCAGGAAAACAAGGAGGAGGAGGAAACGACAGGATAATCCCACCAGGAAAACACGAGAATGCAGCGACAGGATAATCCCATCTTGGCTCCCGTGTTGAAACCCCAAATCAATTAGTGCTGGAATCAATAAATTTCTACAATTGTGTTTCTCGGTGGAATTAAGGGACAGCAGTTGGATTGAGCCCAGTTCACAATATGAAAGGATGTGGAGGTCACATAATATATCTCAGATCTCAGAATTAGCAATGGACACCAGGAGTTTGGGACCAGATAATGTTGCTGAAATAATAATTGCTTAGATCTTTATTTTCTGTAGTTGTGTCTTCATGATTAGTAAGTAAATAATACTTCAGTCAATATCAATAGACAGTGACAAATGCCAGAAAACGTGAACTACAATGTAGCTAAAGTTAGCGATCTGTAAACGGGGTGATTTCTGGGAAACAATGAGTTTAACCTTTCAACGAGAACCAGCAACATGGGTACGTAATGAATCGCCGCATTAATGTTAGATTTCCATCAGCGAAGTTTTCCTTTTTAAGTTGACATTTCATGTGTTTACAAAAGGCCTTAACTCTATGCTCGTGAGAGCAAGACCACAAACTCCCAGTGATTTCACCAGCGGGGTATTTCACTAAGCAGGATTTCTTGCTTAGCCGGATAACTTGTTAGATTTAAGACAGTCTGGGCTAAGTGGACTATATCTTCGTCCACTTAGATGTAGTTCACACTACCTTAAATCTGACAAGTTATCCAGCTAAGCGAGATATCATGCTTCGTGAAATACCTCCCAGCTATTCTAAGAACCCTCCCATCTCCCTAAAACTTCTAACAGCCACAACCGACGATGATTCAAAGAATTAAATCATCATTAGGAAATCAAATGTTTGATCAAGATGCATTACAGTTTAGGAGTATGGTGGTGGCAGTCTGGTTCCCGCCCTCCCCAGAAATTCGCACATCAATCCACCCGTTCACTGATCCTGCACTGAACTACGGTCATTAAATACCACTGCCCCCTCGTGGTGCAACACTAAAAATACGGATTCTCTTTTTTCCCCACAAGCTGAGAGCTCACCTCATCAAAACCGAATCTCAGCCTGCAGAATTAAACAGTTTGCACTTAATTTTTTTAATCATCTGAGCGTTACACTAATTAACAAATGCACAGTGTTGATTACTGAGAATATTATTTGGTACTTTGATCGTTCAGCTGATTTGCGCATTGCTTGCTGTCTCCTTTTTCATGTAAATTCACGTAGATAAACATTAATGAACGACTGATAAAACATTAATGAAATGTAAACACTTTAAGTTAAAAGATTTAACTGAAATTAAACACACCTGTAATTTAAAGCACGGAACCAGTTTATCCGGAAATGGTCCGGTACGTTCTTCGTGTGACTATTCAGTCGCTATTTTATATGACAGAATCTGTTAGCTGTGTTGTCGTGACCGTTATTGATTAATGCACTACCCTTGATAATAAGACTAGTGTATAAAGCATTTATGCACTGGCCTAACCTCTAACTTCCTTATTAAACTGCAAAATCCAGTGATTTGGTAATTTGACCGAACTGACGTCAATCCACAGTATGTGTTCCTAAGCAGGCATTAGGCTTATTGAAGACCTGCGGACACCGGCGCTCCTCTCGGCAGAGAAAAGTAGGTGATCGGCTCTTAATGACTGTGCCCCGTGCCCTCAAACAAAATGGCCCCGGTTAATCAATGGTTTCCTTTGCTCCGGTAACAGCATGCTCACATGCCGGTCAATCCTTCCAGGCTTCATTTCCACAGCCCAGGAAAACGCCGCTCGGTGATGTTTTCCGTCCGGAGAATCAGGCAATTTCCAATGCATTTGTTCAGTCATACGCTGCAAGTCTAATTTTCGTAGCTGCAAAAACAATTACTTAAAGTGAAATGTCTGTACCAGCTATTTTCCCTTTGAAATCTCTTATTTTAATTTTGCGTTCAGTTTTATTCAGTGGTAATATTATTACCGTTACGGTGTAGCCGGCTGAAGCGCACGTCGCCTGGATACTAGGTCTTTTCCCCGATTGAGGGTCTACAAACCCCCTTAAATTTCCTCTGAAAATGCCCCCCACCCCAAATAGTTACGGCATCTTTTAGCCATTCAACCTGAACACGGGATCGGAATCAGACGTGAATAAAATTATGCAAACATGTTCTATTATTGTCTTGTGTGTGCTTAAGGTAATTATCACTTTCAGTCCACTGTTCCGCCCAAGAGATTGATATCACCGAGGGAACGTCAACCAACTAAAGGCAAAGAAACTTAAGCAACCCTGCTTTACAGCCACATGAGGTTTTTCAGCATTTGAAAGGATCAACGATCTTATTTAAAAAAAAAAAAAAAAAGTGCTAGATATGAAAAACTACAAAAAATACTAGTTAAGTAGGTTAACGTATCTAATGAGTCCCGCGCGAGCTCCCTGTAGGCCGCGAGCCTAAAATGCGAGTCAAGCCTTTCATGAAAAATTCAGCAGGAAAACGGAGCTGTTTGTGCGATCTGTTAATCTTTTCATTTTTCTTTTTAATCTTTCATGGAAAAAGGGAAGAGCGTTGCGAATAATGTCCGTGTTTGGTCCTCATAATCGCACGCTGCCTTTGATTCTATTGCTCTATTTTATCAGCCTGCAAAAGCAGACTGAAGAACTTGACACGAAAATCCTGTTTACATGGGCTGCTTGTACCGATTCGTGGTTTATTTCTTTGTTTTATGGGTGAATTTGGCCGCCCAGTATCACGTGGGGGCGCTCACAGCCCGTTCTCTGATAGACCCTGCATGAGCCCCCAGAAGTTCATGTCCAGGACATTCAGGCCCCAGGATCCAGGACTGGTCCAGGAGCTGCTGATGAATTCCTTTTAATCAGCATCTGAGATGGGGATGGTCCTCTGAGTGGCCCTTGCTGATTAAATTTAAGTGCGTAATTGCTAGCAAAGTACTGAGACCCACCCTGTGAGGACTGAAGTGGAATTATTTAAACTTTCGTCTCAAAAGGTAAAGATGAAAAATACAAGCAGAACGGCAGGAAAAAATCTGTACGTTTTTGTATTTTTAAAAAAAACATAAAGGTAAGCAGGTATTATTCGTCATTCATGAAGCACCTGAGCCACAGGGGGCGCTCTCTCCACTGCCCCGTAAACAGGCTGCCCACCCTGTTCACTTTTGTTCAGATTTCTGAGTTTTACTGCTTCTTCATTTGCTAATTCGAGTGTTGTAGAAGAGTAGAATGTCCCCAAGACCTGCTTGGCTGGTTTTAGTGTTTAAGGTTTCCAGTTAATGCGTGACATGTATAAACCAAAGCATGCTTTCATGATTGATTTATCTGGCTTCTCTTACAGAGACATCCAGGGGCAGTATGGAGATGTACGTGCGCCTTGTCTCGGGTAATTATCGATTCGTCGCTTACGGGGTCTGTGTCCGCAGCACAGGCCAGAGGCACGAGGAACCAGAGGCAAATGTCCGCTGTGCCTGGAAGACACTACCTGAAATTTACACAGTCGGTCCCTTCAGGGTGCGCCACGCTCGCGATTTACATTACGGCTCGCTCCTTTGCACGCCACCATCTTGCCGGAGACCCGGACAACATTCTACAGGCCCGATTTGCCTCCGAGCAGGAGAGACTGCTGACGGTGAGAGTGAACTGTTAATAGTGAAACGTTCACTGCTGTTGTGGCGAAAATGCTAAAGATTCAGCAGCGTGGCCTGCTGATGTTCCTCAGTCCCGCTGTGCTGATTCTTCAATACTGGGTTAAGGCCGGTACAGCATCAGTTTACATCCCAGTCAGTGTGCAGAAGTCAATGCTAGCTGGTTATGGTGCAGCTATGGAGTCGAGAGGGGGAAAGTCAGGACGATTCCATGGGCCGCCGAGTGACAGGGGCCCTAAAAATGTGGAACATAATTGGATTGGTCTGGTTTGGGGGGCCCATATGATATACTTTCATGGGGTCTGGGGCTTAGTGTGGATGTAATATATTTTATATTTCATATTACCAGTACTTATAAAGGGAAAAATATAGATGTTCCAGTACTCCCCTTATTCTGCATTGGTACACAAGAAACATACTGGGGAGTATCGCAAAGTGTATCACAAATAATGATATTTGCATTATATGTTAATTTCAGATTATCTTATATAGCATAAATGTTTCACCATATTGTTTTATCCTGGCATGCCGTCTAGGCTATGCCCTTTGCTGCCTGGGATCAAATCCAGGGCCCCCTTTCAATCCTGTGTGCATTTAGTGAGTGGAGGATGGATGGATATCGTTTTGTCATTGAGTATGTTCTCGCGCTTTGCTTAAATGTGATTTTATAGATTCACAGTGACATCTGCTGGCGGTAGTGAAATTAACACCCAAAGGTTCAAGTTCCTGAGAATTTTTCACCCTGCATAAGCTATTTCACCATCTTGAACAGGATAGACATTTAAGTGATTGATTGGATGGATGAACCTCTGATTTTTTTTTCTTCCCCCCCATAAAGGCATCTTAACGTCAAGAAATATGACTACACTTATTTGAAAGCACTTACAAAAAGCAGTATTAATTCTCTGGTACATTGACAATTTATTATTTAAAACTAGTTGCTGTATAATTGTGCGAAATCATCATAAAAAGCAATGGAATATATCTTGCATTAAATTATCTAACATAAGATATATATTGAATGCACACACATTTTGGGAATTTAGCCTACAAAATAGGACAGTAACTATGTAAACAGGTTTCGTAAATATCACTGATTATTGCAAAAATCTGAAGAAATGAAATGAAGCCCCTTCATTTCAGCTCCCATGCGACGATGGTGACATGGTGCCTGTTTATGCAAATCTTCAGTTCGGTTAATCTATATCTCTCTCATACACATTTGATCACGGAAGCCCATAATACCAGTATACCATATTCAATGGCCATTACAGTTTTATTAGTGCCCGTTCACTTCGGAAGTACAGGAGTTGCTCTCTGGTGTCAGTTCACGTTATATGGCCATTAATCGAGTTAGTCAATGGCATGACATCACCACGTTCTCTCCGCAACTGGAGCATCAAGGCATCCAAACAGAGATGGCACAGCTAGTTCTACTGGATCTGCTTTCCAGTGCTGCCCCCTTATGGACAGACAAATTATATCTGGCAAAATGTCCTTGCCAGCCGTAGCTTCTGAATTCTGCTTCTTTGTACCTGTATGGGACCAGCCTTTCCAAGTAGGTGAAGCAATAGTTCCTGCTGAAAGAACTCCACCACCTAGAGCAGACTGATGCCTTGCCACACGTACACTGCTATATTTTAAAACGTACCTTTTTCTGTACGTCTTGGGCTTTTGTCCACACGTAAATGGCGTCTCAGGTCACTGAAAACGGAGATTTTGCAAAACTCCACCTAGGGTGAAGATTTTTCAGAAACACAGTTTTCAGCGTCGACATGTAGACAGGGAATTTTTGGCTTGAAACGTCAGATTGTGCGCCGTTGTCCACTTTGTTTAATGTCAGAGCGTGCGCTGTTTGCTGTATACATTAGGCGAGTTTGAGCAATGGCGGACTTAGCCGAAGTAGTGCTTGTGCTAACCTTGCTGACAGGACTTCTTACATGTGTACAGATAAATGTTGAGTCGGTCTCGCATTATATTGATCAACACAGGTGTCGGAATGTGCGCCACGGTTTTCAACTTAATAGGACTGGCAGTTAGGCTTCTGATTGGCTAACAGGGCAGTACGGTTAAAGTTATAATGCCGCCTGTTGGTTTGGCATGCTTTTGACAGCGCATTTTAGCGGTTTCATGTGGACGGAAATTTTTTAGAAGACAATGTTCGTGTGGACGGGGATTTTTTTTTAAACGGAGGAGGAAAAACACCGTTTTAAAAAATATCTGTTTATGTGTGGACAAGGCATAAAACGGGTAGTTCTAGTACCTTCTGCACATCATGAAACCAGTTACTAAAAAATAAACTGCTCATAACTTCATGCATTTTGCAATGTGTTTCGCAAATATAAATGGACTAATTTACATTTTTTTTTTTATCTATGACGTTACTTAAAATCTGTTTTATATTCCTTTCATTGATTTTAAAACTGACATTCGTCAGGTCTCCAGTCCAACGGCACTAGGGACATGACTAGCAGCCCAGAGAAAATGATGGTAGATTAGACGACATATTGTAATGATGTGAACGAGCGGCCAAACACTGAGACAAAGCAGTACCCCAACATGCCTGCGTACAAAAGATCCAGAAATCGTTTTTAGAAAAACACAAAACGCACTCGCATGTAGCTGCAGATCTCAGAAAAAGCGAACATAGATTCACCTGCATATATGAGCTGTGCTGCTCAGTCCCACTCGCAGTGCCGGTTTCCAATGACAGTTTTCCCGGTGCCTCTTAAGTCGCTAACAGCCTCGGCAATGAGGCTAAATTGACTTAATTAGCGTAATAACCGGTTCGGTCGCATGCTTATGTGCTCCGGTAGGCTGGAAACCCGCAGCCCGCTGTGGCCATCGGCGTAGGTTTTCGCACGCTGACCCTCATAATCTTTTTGAGGAGGGCCCTATTGACTGCTGATGATTAAGACAGCTGTTTATTTATGTGGCCCCTGCACATCCTTCCGAGCCCCATGTGGTCTCCCTTCCGCTTGACGGGAAAGGGCACAGACTCGCCTCCTTAACTGGCACTTGAGCCCCGGACTCCTCACCGGATCCTGATGAATTTCGTGCGAAACACTAACGGCGCTGCGTTATGGGATTCGCTGCTAATCGCTGCATTTATTTATACATTTTAGTCTACTAATGTCACTAATATCCCGCCTGGAATTCAGCCCCCACCCACGGACACGTCTTTAACTGATGTCCTTGGCTTTATTTAGCCGTAATTTCTATGTGTCTTTAACATCTATCCTTTGTAGTGTGCGTTGTATTTGTTATTTCTGCGTATTTCGGACTAATACCGTACGTCACACAGTATGCAGTTTGTGAACCTACTGATTATGTGCCGATGTGTTTACGATCTTTATTTCGCCGCATGTTAGTCGCTTCGGTGAAAATATCACACGCCATATAATTATATGTAAAAGTGCACTGACTCTTCTTGCCGAAAGCCTTAGTAAAATTCACATGAGGAAGTCGCCTTGATTTCATTGAATTGCACAGTGTTTTAGGTCCCAAAACCAATAATGGGAGAAAAGGGATGAAAAACCCAGGATTGGTGGGATTCCGGAACCATGTCACTCACTGCCCGCTGTAACCCATTGGGAAGTGAGTCAGACCAGCCCCCCCACCGCTGATCCTGGGTCTCTCTGCCTAACTGCCCCCACGTCCGCTCAAAATGCGAAGTGCATGACTCGACGTCACAGGTGACTCATCCACCAGAAGCTTAGGGTTTAGGACGTCGACAGGAACTCTTCGGACACGGGTTTTGGGAGCACCATTACAGAGGAACGGGGGATGTGGTTTACAGGGGTACAGATTTACTGTGATGTTCTACATCGATAACAGCCACGTCTAAAGATGCACATTTCCAGGCGGCAGAATGTTTGTTTCTCGGGAATGAACCGGCTCTGCCTGTGAAGTTACCCTGATGTCTTTGGAGAGCGCCACCCGGTGTCAGTGGCAGCAGTGGGCATCCCCGAGGTCTTGCACGGCCACCCGCTTGGGGCACAGTATCTTGGCGAAGGCCCTTCGGAAGCTGCTGTGACAGAGAGGGTACAGGAAGGGGTTAATGGCCGAATTGAGCCACAGGAGCCAGAAAGTGACCTCGTACCAGTGACGCTCTACACAGCGCCCACTACAGGCCGCCCGAATGATCATCAGGAGGGTGTACGGTGCCCAGCAGACGCCGAAGACGCACACAATAATGGCCAGAGACTTGGCGATCTTTTTGTCCCGGGAGAGTCGCAGATTCTGGGAGCTCCTAACCGGGCTCCCCTCAGGAGCAGCGGTCTGGGCCAGTGCGGACTTTGTGTCTGCTGAGATGGCGTCCCTCTCCGGCACGGGGGTGGAGCTGCAGAGTAGGGAGGAGGGGACGCCCACGGCAACCTGCTGGCGGGGCGGGCTCCTCGGCCCCGGGGCCCGCTGCGCGCGCTCGCGGTTCCGCCGGCGGATGCTCAGGTAGATGCTCAGGTTGAAGAAGGTCACCGAGATGAAGGGCGAGAAGAACTCCAGCGTGGAAGCGCTCAGCAGGAAGTACCAGGTGTAGTAGAACTCGGCAAAGCACTCGCCGCTCGGCACGTTGCTCCGGCCCACGACCCACTCCCAGAAGAGGATGGCGGGGCCGTACAGCAGGAAGGCCAGCACCCACACCGCCGCCATCTTCACCATGGCCGAGTTCGTCATGCCCTGCCGGGCCCTGTAGGACACCTGCGAACACAGGGGCCTCGTGTCACACACAGCAGGGGCGTCGGAGGGGCATGGATACCCTGGCAGATCAAGGGGGCCACCTCTTTTTAGGGGCCCGTGAATATGAAAAATAATCATTTATACCCTTGGGAAACACTAGGGGCCAAATTCAGGCAAACAAGGGGCCCCTGACAGTCTCAAAAACTTGTACAGGTAGATATGATTTATGAATGAGTATTTACAAACAATTAAAATAATCTTAGTATTAGTATGTATAGTGTTTTAAGTGCAGGCCAGATCTAGCTGTAGGCAGAGTAGCCAGTTTGCCCAAGGCCTCTGAATTATGTGAAATTATCATGAAATAAATAATATTGTTAAAAACAATACCTTCAGGATTTTAAAATACCCTTAAAAAAATACAGGCGCTCCTCTTTCTATGACACCGGTGTAGAGATGTACTGAGGCGATGTAGTTAGCGATGATTGGATCATCTGGGGCAAGTCAAAGAATAATGCGCATGCATAGATTAATGTTATTAAAATGCGCAGTGAATGCGCTGTAAGCATAGTTGGAGCGTAATTGAAACCTAGATCACGAAGGGTGATCTCTTTAACTCTTCAGCAAGGAGTTGTCTCCTCATTTCCCTAGCACTCTGCTTCCACACTAATGAGCCCGTTTAGACTACCTCTGATTCAGAGTCTACATGATTTACGTTTTTTTTTTTTTTTTTTTTTTTTTTTGAGCCATCATATTCCGGGTTGAAATGTCTAGAAGGTATGATGGTATGAAAATGTACGTAGCGCCCAAGCCTGATTTCTATCGATTGAAAGTGGCGACCCGAGCCCAATCTGCCATTTTTTCAAAGGGCCAGACTTTTTAGCTGTGCCCTTGATGCACGATATAGTGAGTAGGCATGATCTTTATCCAGTAAAAATATGCTAAACACTTTTTTTTTAGTAATTATCATTACTAACCACAGTTAAGCCATGTTTCATTTTGGCAGAAAACAGCATAATTACAGCATTTGCCTTCGTTTTCACGTCATTGCCGCAGCGCCTCTCTAACCTTCTAATAAGTCTTCTCATCTCCTAAGAACACAGCATCTGCACCTGAAGTTCCTTTGATGGCCCTTCAAAGGAGGCATTAACAGGGATTTTCCCGTTAAACTCTTTATCTCTGCACAGCTCCGGAGACGCGATCCTTCAAAGGTCCCGTCACCCAGAATTCTGCCCTATACAATCTACCGCGTCAGCAGGCCGCGGTTTAATCTCGCCGCCCCAGGACCACGCTTGAAGTTACGCCGCCCACGAGTATCTGGATGCTTTGCTTTAAGCAATAACTTCCACAAAGGCTAGGAGGAGACGGTCTCCAGGGCGCCCCCTTCAGTCAGCGAGGCCCGTGCCGAGCTCCGCCACTCGCTCCTCTGCGCGCACACTTGACGACACGCTCCGCACACAGACTTACTTTGTTGTCATTGTTGTCTGCTCGCCTTGGCTCTGGGGGCGGGTGAGGCTTTCACACAAATGCCACGCTGATTCCCCCGCTTCACCCAGAGTTTCCCTTTGACGGAGTGATTTATATCATCGAGGATGGTTCAGAGAACGTGAAAGATTAAAGACAGGTCTGCAGAGATTAAAGGAGACGGCAATTATAATATTTTCATTCATTACTGTGCTCCGAATTGTGACCGGGACCAACGGCCATAAGGACCCCCGCTATCCCACTGTCAGCATTTGATTGATATGGATCTGAGCTGTCGACTGATGGACCGAGGCACAAACAACCACCCCCCCCTCCATGTCCTTGCGGAACTGCTACGGAAAATGCTGTATTAATTCCGCGCTTGCTTGTTTTATGCTTATTCTATAGAAGAATACATATACAAGCACCATTTCTTTCCGCTAGTTTCATATTAAACATCATTCTGGTATTTGATGCTGATTTGGAAGTGTAACGGTAAGAAAGATCCATGGCAGGGGACGTATCGGTGCGTGACACAGTGACGTAGGGCAAGCCGTGCTCACAAAGGCAAGGGCACCCAACTCAGTGTTTTCAGCTGGAGAAGCAGATTAGGGAGCAAATGGATTTGGATGCGTGACTGATTTCCACAGTCAAAAAAAGAAGGGAACGATAACAAAACTAGTAAGATTACACATTTGAGGTTTTAAATCTCAACATAAGAAACTGATCCGACTTTCTCCGTGCATGATGACTGACAGACAGACCGAATTAAATCTAAGCACCATTAAAGTATTACTTTCTGTTCTCATAACTTCAAAGGACACTGCCTTTCGAGCTGTGCTGCGATTATCATAATTGACTCCCTGTCTTTCTTGGGTTTCCAACGACAGAGTCAACAAATGATAACAGGAAATAATTTCTCAGCAACCCGACAGGTTTCTGCTCAGCGTGCATCTTCCAGGACTGTTTATTACAATTTGCAAATGCGTTATTTAGGTAGTTCCCTGCGGATACATTTCCAGACACCCGGCTGACTATCAGCAAACTATCTTCTGAATGTTAACGTTGACTGATGTTTATATTCGTAGTTATGGATAGAAAAAAATGGGGAAAAAACACTTCAAAAACTGTTTGGATCGGCCTCTGCACCTTGTGCTCATGTGATGTCAAGCAGCAGTGTTTGCAAATTTTTTTTTTTTTTATTTGATTTTTTCAATAATCGGATACCTGTGGTTCTAGCTATCAGGGGCTGTGCTAAACGGTTTTATTTGTTTTTGTTGGTACAGTTTGCCAAATACATTGTGCCAGTCTTAATTGCAACCTTTATGTAGATGTTAATCATTTGTTTGTGATATGCAACTCATAGTTACAGTGTGATTCGATGTTCATTGAGCAATTATTGCGTCTCGCACCTATATGTTTTTATTTTTCCCCTCAAACTTTTGCTGTTATTCTCATGTTTTAATCGCAAAGGTACATAAAGGTAAAACTCAGCCATTCTGTCTACAGTCAGATGCAGATACGAGACACCTTGAGGGCAAACATTTACACCAGCGTGAGAGACGGTGCCTCTGTGATGCTTCGTCGACCAGCTCTCCCGCGCAATTTCATCTGTAAGGACCCAACCCTGCTATTAATGCAGACAAACAAACATCTTCCTGAGCAGGCTGACAATACCAGCATATGCCTGTACAAAATATGTAGAAACCTATTTAAACAGTAATGCAAAAAAAAAAAAGTTGTTCTAGTAAAAAACATACAATTGTAATACTGCCTTCAGCCAATCAATTCTGTGAATAACGTGAAACTGAAAAAATTAGACTGTGTACGATTGGAAGTTCAATTCTGTGAATAATCCGGATCTATACAAGATGGCCCGCGATGATGTGTTGACATATTAAGTGTCTGAACAGAGGTATCATTACCCACACACAGGCCGGTAGCCATTCTTCTTGCGCGGATGACAACGGCCTGTGTGATTACAGCAAGCACCTCGCTAAACGCTAACCTACGCCCCGCACTTTGAAGTTTGAACCCTTCAGAGACGGCACTCAGAATCTCGAAAAGGCATTTTTCGGGTAGATTAATCAACGTCGTCGGGACGTTGTGTTGACGTAATGACATTTCAGTAGATATAACACAAAAGTAGCTGAAGCATTCTCTAAATGTTAAGGGCCAGTAACACTTTGGGCTGATGACCGTTTACATCGTTTTTGGAAGATGTGTGAAGGGCGGGAATGAGATGACCGTTAGCTAAGGGTACCTGAAGGATATCACACTGGAACGGCTGAAAGTGTGAATTCTTGCCTTTGTATATTTGTAGCAGGGATATGTGTGTGTGTGTGTGTGTGTGGGGGGGGCGGGTATGAGCACCAGCCCCATTTGTCCAAATGATTGGAAGTGCCTTTTTTGAGCAGCTGCCCCCTCCCTCAAGAAGTCTCTGCACATCCCTGATTTCATCAGATGATACACTCAGAAAGTTAACTTGCATGCTAATCATCTTAGCCCCATCAAACTAATTCAGTTTGTTACGACAATTCAGCTAGCATGGTGGCTCACACTCGCACGGTGTTTGGGGTTCGAACCTCACCTTCTCATACCATCTGGGTTTCCATCCAGTTTGATGGGTCCCCTAACTTTATGCCCTAGTTATGTGGTTAGAATAATAATTCTTTATTTGCCATTTGCACAAATACAGATACATTAGAATTCTTCTCTTTGCCTGCCCCATCTTGCTTTCCATAGCTTATCACAGTGCAGGGACATCTAACATGCAGCACCCCTAGAGCTGGGGGTTAAGGGCCTTGCTCGAAGGCCCACAGACATGTGACTGTTCTGCCGAGGCTCAAACTGACAACCTTCCGATCACAGGCAAGGCGACTTAACCCCCTGAGCTATGCACCACCCCTACATTACGTAGAAGATGGATGGATGACAATCCATAATTTCCACTTTACTAGTTATTCCTCTGTTTTGCACGTATCGCTTTTTCTTAATCTGTAGTAATATTTTTTTTATCAGCGCATGTACAGATTGATTAAATGCAAATGCCAAATTCTTGGCTCGTGCTTCGCAAGATGGCAAAACGAGATACTAATCCTTGATGGGGATGATCAGAAAAACGTTCGACATCCTTCCAGGAGCATCAAATTATGTGAAGACCCCGCGGATTAAAGTCACACCTGGAGGTTAATGGGTTTAAGTCCCAGACGGTGCCGACACGCCGGGAGGTGATACTCACGGCCCGGGTCACGGACATGAAGCGGTCGTAGCTGATGAGGACGATGTTGAAGACGGAGGCAGTGCACAGCAGGTAGTCCATCACCAGCCAGAGTTTACAGAGACCCCTTCCCAGCATCCACCTGCCAGTCAGGATGTAGGGGATGTAGAAAGGAATGCAAAAGGCACCTGGAGGGGAGGGGGCAGACATGCGAGTGCGTTTGACACGGCGCTAAAGGGCCCTCCCCATATCAACATCAGAGTTACGCCCATTCTTATCGGCCTTTCTTGTATTTGATGACTATCCAATTTCGACGGCCGGCTCTAGCTATCTGCAGAATAGGCGGTCGCCCAGGGCACCTGAATTACCTGCATTGCAGAGGAAATGAGACAATCATAGGTTCTCTAGGCAGGGGGCCTCCCAAGTGAAGCTTTACCTACGGCCCCTGAAAAAGTCGAGGCGCCCCCTGCCTGTTTGTGGCAGCTTCTCGCCCTCCCCGACTATCGAAGATGACGGAATCGTTGACCGGCAACCCCCCTCCACCCCCCATACCGTCTTCTCCTGACCACCTGGGCAGGTGGACTCCTCTAGAAGGGCGATACCCACCCCCCCTGCACCATCTGCTTGTCTGCCTTTGATCAGAACCCCCTCCCACTCGCTTTATGATCTCTTGGGGGATCGCTCGTCGTAACCCTCTTGTCCTTGTAGAGGTGTCTCCTTCTTCCCACACATGAAACGGACACCCCCCCCCCCCCGGCCCAGTCAACGCCACGTAGAAAACGACCCCCTTCCCTTTGTCCCCGATCTTCAGACTGACCACAGATACATACGTGATGTAAGCGGCAGTCGTCCCGTTTCCCCCCCATGTCCTACTGTGCAAACACAGATTTTCTAATGTGTCCCTTGCCACTTTTCTCCCCCCTCCCCCACCTCGACATGCGGATGGTACATCCCAGAGGGTTTTCTGTGATGTAATTCCATGCAGGTCTACATTTAGGGCACATTGGGTGTAAATGCAGTCTACTCTCCTACGAAAATACAGAACTATAGCTTTTGACTTCTTGTCTTAGAACCAGTGTTCCATCAGATGACCAGTCTGACACCACTTTTGAGTCTAGAATCCAGGCTTCTGTAGTCAGGTTTTAACTGCCAAATCCAGTGAAAAAGTACTAAGCACAGGGTCACAAAACCACCGTGATCTCATCTGCTACTCTGCTGTACGCAGGTGCTGCATATAGCAGGTGAATCTACAGGCTGTCCCAGGCTTCAGAATGCTGTCATCTGTGCTGATTTATACCTTTGTACTGAGAACCCAGACCATAATCATTTGTCTGTCACAATGCACTCTTTGCAAGAAAACACACAATATGGTTTTAAAAGGTAATATAGCTGAGCTGACTGTGAAAAGCTTTTCTTCAAATGGAAAATGATACTGACATGTGAAAATATGGCTGCAAGTAAGAACAGACGATGTGCTTTGATCAAGTTTTGTGTCTGGAAAAACGGTAAGGATTAAGGATCACGTACTTCGAGATGCTATAGCTGAAATCGTCGGTGAACATAATCGCATGCGGTAATTAAAGTGAGATCTCATACCAGTCTTTCAACTTTTGCAAATATTAAGCCGCAGCACGTGCAATTACCAGTGATTTGGTGAGTGCAGTCTGAACACGTTCTTCTCATTAAACTGCAGCCGCCGTGATTCAGTGTCGCCGTGTGAGGTGACAGCGCCGGCTTACGGAGCCCTGAAGCCTGCGCTCCGGTCAGGGTGCGAACCGCATGCGGCCGCTTGGAAGCGAGCAGAAAGTCTCCGTGCAATTTCCCCTCATTTAGTTTCACAATTTTCAGGCGCAAGTGACCCGCCGTATTTATTTTGGCTCTCTTATCTGCCACGATTTTAAAACCCAAGTGTACAAAAAAACAGGGAATCCAGAATTACTGTTCTATAGAAGATTACAGATTGCATGTAATTAACTGGGCAATAAAGGTGCCTTTTAAAGGGCTTTTTAAAAAAACGCATCATAAATTCAGCATATTAATCTTACCGGTAATAAACTGTTGATTTAAACTCTTAATGGCTAGACTGTATTGAATGCCTAATGCGCTGTCTTTTTAAACGTACAGACAATGTTGTATGTATCTAATTTATTTTCGGTACTAATACCGATACCCTACTTTCTACTGTGATTTATCATTACGGCAGCAGCAATTAATACACCACGCTAGCGTTATTAAATATTTATTATTTTATAATGTCCACATTCAAGGTGTACTTCAATACAGTGCCATAAATTACTGACATTTATTGCATCATTGATAGTAAAAGTTAGAGTAGTATTGATCTGTAAAAGAGCAAGTCAAGCAACGTCAGCCTACTCACCAACAAGAAAATCAGATATCGCCAGGTTTAAGAGGAAGTAGTTGCTTTGCCTTCTGAGACTCCGGTCGACTTTGAACGCATAAATGACCAGCGCGTTCCCAAGGACCGTAACAATAACCAGTGTAACCATCAAAACGGCTAAAATGACTGTGACATGCTGCGGAAAGGCAGCTTCGCCACCGCGGCTGGCCGCGTCCATGCTGGCGTTCATTTCGGCTCCCATGCTCTCGTCGGCTGTACATTCACTCCATCCCAATGGCTGTAAGTATAGTCCTTTCCCCTACATTTGTTATTTTATATATTTCATTCCGGTGGACGGGCACATGCGGTAGACTGTACACTGGGACATACTTAGCAGACCTGTGCAATTTAAATGATTGGTAAGTTACGTCTATAAAGCATAAATTAATAAAATACCCTCAAGTTAGTAGCACCTGTGAGTTGCCCGTGAGTTGCATAGTTGCAAAAAAAAAAAAAAAAAACTTGTTAACTAGATGTGCCCAGTCCGTATTTATCGTAATTTACACTTTGCCAAGGTTAAGTGACTATTTTGTGGTTTAATAACACGCTGCCTTTTGCTGGTATCCCCCGAGTGAGAGAGAAAACCAAACTCTGTTAGGCTATATTTAAAAAGTTGAAAGTCCATGTATTGAAATCCAGTTGAGGATTAGTGAGTCCCCGCAGTAGCCGGTGGTTGGTGTCTCTCAGACGGAGGAGCAGAACACGCTGAGGACCCGCGTATCTCACACTCTCACATTTCACTCCGCTCCGGGAAAGTGATGTGCCGCTTTTCCGATTTATGCTGCGTGTTTACACGAAGGAACCCGGTACACGGCGCCGCCAGCAGAAACTAGAGGATAAGTGCGAAGGGATTGACAGGGTCCGCTCCTATTATTCCGTGCAGATATGATCTTCCGCACACTGGTGTATCTGCATAAATTTAACACTGCTGTAGTCTCATCGTGCAGTTCGAATTATAGAAATGCACAGTTAAAATAACCAGTGTACCATATGAAATGAGCAAGATTACATTTCTATCTCTTTATATTTAGTTTGTATCATACATCAAATACACGTTGCTGCGACTATGTATTAAAACTTAGATCTGATGGTTCGATTTTTCAGTTTCGTTTGAAGTAAAATCTGTTGGATTTTTGAATATATATGATATGCCGGCCATTTCGTTGCCTACCGCAGTAAAGTCATTTTACGAAAAAGATTAAATGAGGGATAAAATATTTCAAAGATGCAATAATTTAATATAAAGAGTGGATTGTACAAGAGATATCTCGAAAATGTAATTCCTCGTGCATTTTATTATATGAAATAAAAATATTTCAGATGTCAAACTGAAAACTAACATCGAACGTGTGTTTAATCGTCATGTTATTTGGCTGTTTCATTTTGCCCAAACTTTAACAATAGTAAGGTAATTCACTCTTCTTATCTAAACTGTAGGCGTGTTTCCAAAAACAGTACGATTATCCCTTTATAAACATAACCGAATCGATGGAAAACGTCCTCGTTGAGTGCAACTGACATTAAACCATGTAAATAATTTACTAATAAAATGATCTGCTTGTCCCTTGCAGGTGTTTTTCTGAGGTATTAGTTTCTGAATCAATTTTTTTTACCGTGATTTTTCAGGAAAACGCGCAGAGATAAATAAGCCGCTTGACTGGAAAAGTGGCGGCTGACGGGGTGCAGTTTATTTTCTCTCATAAAAACTGATTCATGTGTACTTTTACATGACGACAGGTGCATTTGTGACAGGCAAATAAATGCAACAGAATTACGAAAAACGTAACTTTAACTTTAAATTTTGCATGTAAAATGGGATGCTGTTTCTGTCTATATAAGGTATTCAAGTAGACTGCACAATAACTTAAAGTTGGCTAGGTTATAACTTACATAACGAACAAGTAATATTTACATCTTAGATTTCCATCGTAGATCACATTCGTGATTATAAGTTGTTGAATTTATAAATAGGTCTTTTCCTGGTTATTTTAACATTTTCCTAATAATACAGTGAAACTGTGCTAATATGCCAGACTATTTTACGTCACTCTGGCGTCATAAGATTCGTCAATTCAGAGCTTTTCGGGAGACACTGAATAGAAAACGCTGTCCGCATAGCCACGTTTTTCTGGTGTACAGTTCCTTTTCACGACTGCAACAGCTAACTCCGCTATTATACAACTGTAATTATTTTAAAATAAAACGTTTATTCATAATAATCCATGAGAAAAGGGGAAAAACAAGACTAAAAGACTGAGTAAAAGAGAATATATATGGCAATGAAGTCAATTACAAAGCATATGCCAGTTCCTCTAATGGGTCCGACTGAGCAACAAAATCCTGAGTCCTTCCTTTTGAAGCTAGTGAATGTCAGATTGGACTGCTCTTACAAAAGAGCTGGCCCTTGTCTCTGGCTGCCATTCTCCAAGAGCCATTTGGCTTGAGTAAAGGTCATCCAGTAAATTTGATGCATAGGTGGAGCGGGGGTGTGCGGTTGGGGGGGGGGGCTAATATGTATACCACAGTTTATTAATGTTCCCAAAAGCCTTGTGAAAAGGAACACCTGTGTTCCCTTATCAGAAGTAGTACATATGCATGAAAACAAAACCTGTTGATCCACTTGTTGTATATACTCATGCATATATGTTTGTGTGTGTATTTTGTTAATAATTTGGGATTAAACAGTTTTGGTTATAAATATGCAGACTTCTTGCCCATCAGGAGGCTCTCATCCTCATCCTAGATTGTGATTATTGCAGCCTGCTTCCGAGTTACCGATGGCCTCCACCGTCAGCCAGGGCGATGATTGTGGCCTGGGGCTCACTCCAGCCACCGCTATGGGGTTATCGCAAGCTCGTGTACAGGCTTCCCCGCCAGACTTTTTAATGCACAACTTGGGGGAGTGGCATATCTCCTCAGGACCCGCCTATCAGAACCCTCCTGTCCAATCACATGGCAGAGTCTTTGATTGGCATGAATACCTGGGAGGGAGGGGTGAGACCCAGTGAAAGGAGGACCATGATTCTTTTTGCGTTTCGTGACGCAAGACCTGCTTGGAACAGGGAACAAAAGGCGTCTCCCCCGCAGAATGTCACGACTGTAGCGACACGAGGCTGTTCTGTCTGGCCGCACCAAAAAACACAGGCATAAAGAATCAAAGCAATAAAAGCTAAGGTGCCACTCTCCCGTTACCACACACTAACCGGCTAATGCGGCTGCTATTTTAGTTACAGCTATCATGTTGAAATGTCAAAACAAAAATGTCATGTGACCCCCTGTTTGGACAAAAAAGGCCTTCTAATAGGCTAAATTAACTGCATCCATTCAAAATACGTCAATTTGTGTAAACTGGATTGGCTCCTTCAGCTTAGTCATTTACTGCAGGCAGATTACGACCAATTTATTTCTTTGTTGTGGAAATTAAATTTTTGCATTTGAAATCTTCTATACATTGTGTTTAATGCGTCCATTCTCCAACCACTTATCCTGCATGGAGTCCCTGGCAAAGCGAGGGGCACGAGGCTGGCACACCTTGGACACCATGCCAGGCAATCGCAGCATCGCATCTGTTTATTCACAACACGCAATTCATGCATTAAACAGACTCTCGTTACGTTTCAGCCACGCAGTGTTTAGTGGCACGGTAAACATGAATGTGTTAGTTTTTCCAGAGTAATTTCCGGAGTTAATCTGGATCTGAAGAAAAAAAGGGGGCCCCTTAATTAATTTCCCTTTAATTAAACAATTGAAAGGTGCTGCAGGAGTGATGATTAAATAAACTACAGCTTTTTCTGCTGCTTCTCTAAGGTAACTGCTGCTCCTGTTAGAGCTCTTTCAGGCTGTCGCCGTGCTAATCTCCCTGCATGTGTGTGCGTGTGCGATTCTGTGCGTTTGCGCGTCTAGGATCGTCTGAATAGCTGACCGTTTTAAAAAGTGGAAAAAGAAACAGTGCAGGCTAATAAGCCAAATGGACGACGACGCTCCACAGCCCCCTAATCAGTGAGGAGAAGTGGTTGACGTACTTTTCATACCGTAGAGTACTCAATACCAATCTTTCATTGCCTCTGCTGGAAAGGGAGCGATGCGTGGCCGCTCTATGCATGTGGAGCTGCCGTGTTCTTCCCGTGTTCAAGGGGGCATTTGTCTGTCGGCCTAAAAGCCAGTGGTTAGGTGACCTGGTATCTTTAAGGTGCCCTTGATATGTGATTTTGCGTGTTCCCACTGAAGGACCGACATCCTCTCCAGCGGATCCCCAGCCTCAATTCTTCCTGTCCTGGCTCACCTTTATTTCGTATTGGATGAGCAGTAAAGCCACACATTTGCATAAGGCCTCTGAAGTTTGAAGGCCCCCCCTGTTGGCCACAAACAGTCACTACAAAAGGAAGGATGCAGAGGGCCCTGAAATTACTTTTTGAATTGGGCACCAGAAAAAACAAACCTGGATGGATGGAAATGGTGTTTTTTAAAGAGACATTTTTTATTACAGCTGATATATCTGCTTCCTTTCCTGGGTGATTCTCCCTAAGGCACCACTGAAAATATTCAAAACATTCATGGGTATAAAGTGACAAAAAGGTTTTCGCTGGGTTAATATTTGGGCTCTCGCGGCTGGGAGAGGCGCGCTCGGCGCCGAATGGGAAAGCGAGGGACATCTATTTCAATGGGAGTCCGAGCCACTCCTTCAAAATGACTGTAATGACGGACACTCCACCAAAAATAGATCCTTTTATGCTTTGCGGGTCTGCGTTGGGCAGCATTAATATTCTGGTGTGGGATCACAATTCGTATCGAATGATGTGACCCTGGAAATTGTTGGAAGCGAGTTCCAAATTGGAAAAAAAGTACTCGTACAGCAAGTCCTAAATGTATTTGTGTTGTTGTCATTATTATTATTATTTATTATTAAGTGCTGGCAAGTCTACATGGATTCTTGGAGAGCATATAAAGGATTTCTGTCAGTCTTCCCAGCGCTATGCACATTTTGACAATGAACATTGGTGTGCTGGCAGAAATAGATCCTGCTGTTATATTAAATATTATATTAAATGAAATATATATCTTATATTAATGCTCACAGAAAAGCATTTACTTTTGTTCTAAAAGCTTTTGCTAGTAAGAACAGATATGATTTGAGCTTAAAAAAAAATCATGTAATGTAAGAAACCCATTTTTATCAAAGGATGATTAATTCAGCATGAATACCATTGTGACGTCCATTCATATGACTTTTAAGTGTCTTTTTCATATAACATATATCGTATTGGATTTTCAATAGTGGCTATTGTGCTGGAGTGGAATTATGTGGGCTAGTTCTTTTTTTAAAATGGTTACACAGATAGAATAGCTGTTGCATCCCGAGTCTGAACCGCATAATCAATAAGAACAGCGTGAGATGCGTTTTTTTGTTTTTTTTATTCCCGACAGTATGATTTTCTAAGTGGGCGGGATGAACAAATCAGCATCGCTACATCTCATGAACACAGACGTCTCTGTCAGGAAGTAAAGAGCAGGAGGAGGTGACGAGATCGTAAGTGCAGTACACGTATCTGTACACCGAGTCCAAACCGACGATCTCAATGGAGAGAGAGACCATGATATTCTTCCCGAGTGACCAAGGTGATCCTGTGTGAACCAGAAAATGTATTCCTCTTTAACTCTGACTCCATCCTTTAACAAGTGCAAGACTTGAAATTAGTAGACAAGCTATTAATGAGGCTAAAATTGAGATTGAACAGTTTGCCAATTAACCTAAAAGTCAGGTAGAAGCTTCCATCCATCATTCCTCGTTATCTCCCCATTGTTTGTCCTTGTGAGGGTCTCCGTTGGAGAGGAATCACTGACATTTTTGTCAGCATAAACAATAAATAAATGCTACGCTATTGTGGCGTATCTTCCATACTGATGAAATATTAAACATGCCACTACAATAATTCTAAGTTTAGCTGGCTTTTTTACAAAGACGCCACAATATTATTCAGTTCATACAGCGGGAACAGCCTGGATAAAGGGACCCACTGGGATGTGAACCTGTGACCTTCAGTCAGCATCCTTATCAACTAGGTGACCCAACGCCTGACGTCACATCACTCCTGGGCCCCCATCCCAGACACATCGTGGTTGGGGCGATGCATGGTGCATGCAAATTAACCCTGCGATTGGCCCACATTTCCCCAGCACCTGTTGCCTGGCTAATTAAGCCCCCCACAGAGCAGCAGTTTGTTACCATGGCGATTAGCCGTTTAACAGCGGCCTTTTACACAGGCATTTGTAACTGAAAGTCAACAAAGGAAACATGGAATTCTCAATGACTTTGTGAATCTGCCGACAGTCCCGCTGCTGTGATTTTCCTGTGTTTCTGGGCAGTGTGTCACCGGAACGTTTTGATAAACTCTATTTAAATTTGTTGTGTTTTTCTGTCCTACACTGTCCATCTTGTTAGTGAAAGTAATCCGTAATAGAATAAATGTCTTTGCCTTTAGCCCCGCCTGAGGGCAGTAAATGTTGACACTGTCTAAAGAAACTTTGTCTAAATCCACGCTGCCCTGCACACCACAAATAGGGAACCTGCAAGGTCCCGAGGCACAATGTTAAGGTCACAGTTCCTGGACATGGTTTACAACTGACCATCTACAGCTCTGCTGTAGGTACAGACGTGTGAGGTCTCCACTGGAACTCGTCCTGGCAATTTGAAGAGGAGTGTTAGAGGGTAAGTTGGCCATGCGATTGTGTTATAGCGCTTTTTGCTCTGGCAAAAGAATCTCGTAGGACAGCTTGATGTGGCCCCCTTTGCCTCGGCTTGGTGTGGGGGTGTCAAACGTTGAACGTCAATGTTGTGGCTGTTGTCTGAAACCTCTAGTATTAAACTCGAAACAAATGGTGATTGTTGATTATACAACACTTATTAGTTATGACTGGTCCACGCCAGGCACTCCCACCAGCAAATTTAGTCGCTGAAAGTCAGCTGGTCTGATGCGCCGTACCAAGTGAACATGCACTATCTAAGTAGAGGAGGTTGGATCGAGTGAGAAAGGTAAACAAGCCTCGAGGGCAGATTGCTGAGAAACCGGGCCTGTGTGATCACAGCTGTGGCTGTTCGCAAGGTTAAGAATTCTGGACCTGCGGGTATCTTTGGACTGCGGGCAACACGTTTAATAGCGGGAATCTTTTGAATTCATGTGGCTCGCCCTGTTTTCTTGACTCGGACACAACACACGACATCAGGAAATGATTGAAATTGGTGGTTACAGGAAGCTGTGGGCCGGGGAACCGCACGTAGCTAAATGCTAGGTTTCTGAAGCGTTACTCATAGACTTACTGAGGCCAAACTCTCAAACCATGATTCTGCCAGTTTATTTTCCATTTGTATTTCCTTGTTTCTCAGTGGGTCGCCCTCACCGGATCAGCACCAGTATTCTCTGTTATACTGCATTGCCAATGATTTTTCTAGGCCTGGGTCTTACGCGGTGGGACCTTCAACCTGACCTTGACTTCCTATTGAGCTGTAGTTTTCCTGCTGAGGACTCTGGCCATATTTATAGTTACCATCCAGCAGGGTGATTTTAGTTGTTTTTGAGGCCCTTCTCAAATGTTTAAAAAAAAAACCCAAATAAATAGCTTACGAGTAGAGTCAGATTATCCTAGCCAGCTAGCTGGTTAGCATAGCATGCAGCTTCAGCGTCTCCTAAATAAGGAACACGTTTACTTCCTATTTAGAGTGCTGATTGATTGTGTCCCCCCAGACTTCGGGGGGCCCCATGCAGAGGGAAAACACTGCAGCTGTCACCCAGGGTAACTCGGGCCCATGTGTAAATCACAGCATATTGCACGGCTGTGGGTGGTTCTGCTGTGATGTTTGCTATTTTATTTTTTTTCCGTTTTGCTCTTTCTGCCAAAGAACTAGCAAGATACATCTGCGACTGAGTGGACAGCTGTTGACAAATATGTTTTAAGTCACGCCAAGTGTAATTTACGGCTGGATTAGGGCCTGTGCATGATACTCCAGTGGCGGAGAGGAATGTCTGATTAACTCTGCCATCGATCTATGAAATTTATTCCTATCAAAGTCCAAAAAGAGTTTACAGGGTGTATTTGTTTTGGAGGGAATCAATCAATTTAAAAGAAAAAGGTCAGTGGTGGGGGGTATAAAGCCCTTAAAAATTCTTTGACATTTTTTGAGGAAGGAAGTGATTCCTGGAAAATTGCATGTTATTATGAGGAAACGGGAGCGCAGCTCTCTGCTTGCTGGCTCACATGTAAAACAGAGGAGCATGCCAGCTAATTATAATGCAGATAATAACAGAGCAAATGTGCGGTCACAATTCAACAAATGGATCCGCCATAAGACGCCATGTACGGCAGAGTCTCTGAATGGGGGAAGGAGCGGCTGAGGGCAGGAGAGGAACACGAAGCGCCAGGGAATCGGCCGAGCGCTCGCGAGTCTGAACGGCAGCGCGACGCTCACGACCTAGATCTGCTCTGAGCTGGAGGGGCAGTGGTCGTTTGAAGAGCAGAGGGTGGATGGGATCATCGTACTGTGACAAAAGCAAGGTCGTGGGGCCGGGGTAGTCTCGATTTGAGTGGTCCCTTGGTAAGCCAGGGCAGTGGTCTAATCTGATGGGGATATAAATATATCAATTTCTCATCATCTTTAAGAGAACAGCAGTGCTTTTTGCTTCGGCTGTACTTCTGGTTTTTGGAGAATGTTGCCCTTGACTCCTTGAGATGCCTCTGAGGATTATTTAGGCTCAGTGGTCCATGTGTCAGTTTTCTTTTTTAAGTAAATATTTTGGATCAAAATTAGCACCTTATACAGGGTCACCAACTTTGGTCAACTGGCTGGAATGAGATTTTCAATTTGAGACAAGTCTGCACACACATTTATATGTATGCAACAGGTTCACTACCTTGTAAACCATCTGTAGGATTTGCAAACTACCCCCAATGCTTTTGATGTAGCTAATTTTAGGTTAATAATGGAATAATATAGATTTGCCATAAGATTTCTTGCATGAGTGTGAGAGTCTGAAAGTCTGAGTGTCGGCCCAGATGCGTGAAACTTGGCATCCCTGTTAACTAATAACATTCTAAATAATATCAAACTCAACATCTTATAAAATCAAAATGATGTGTGAAAGTTTGTCAGTTTTTTATAGGCAAAATAACACTGAGTTTTGTGGATGTTTAGCACTGTGGTGGTGCCATCGAGACGTATCACACAGAGGAATGAGATGAGAAACTTCTCCTCGTGTTGTACAACAGTACAGGTACTAGTCAATGCAGCCGGCTCACATGGACTCAGACTAACTGGCTCACATGGACTCAGACTAACCGGCTCACATGGACTCAGACTAACCGGCTCACATGGACTCAGACTAACCAGCTGACTAGTCAGGCAACATTTTCAGTGGGTTGCTTTGAGTGAAAACTTCAGATGAGATAGTAAGTAACTGTTAATCTGGTACAAAAATTGTTTTGGATCTGTAATTCTTGGTGAATTGTCTTTGGCTTGTAGACTAAAGGAAGTCTTATACTTGAGTGAGATCATTCAACTCAATTCAATTTCAATTCAGTCTTATTTTTATAGCACATTTTCACAATATTACATTGTCTCAAAGTGCTTTACATTATCCCTGCCCAAAACCTCCAGTGAGCAAGCCAGAGGGGACAGTAGCAAGGAAAAATTCCCTAGAAGGAAGAAACCTTGCGAGGAACCAAACTCAAAAGGGGAGCCCAACCTCCGGGGGCTGGCAGAGGGAGTCAAACGAGCAAATTCACACTGTCCAAATTTTAAGATTTGAGTCTCAATGCGATGGCACGCAGTTGCTGGTGCTGCTTCTGACGACCGAATGAACAGCGGTACAGCAGCAAGGAAGGAAAGGGAGACATCACAGGGACAAGGGCGGGCAGGCTGGAAGGACGCGGAAGGACGTCACAGACAGCAGGGGCGTCGCCGGCAGCAGGGTAGGGGGAATTTCTTGATATATCTGGGTCTCCAGGCAGCACAGCCAAGGAGGGGGGGAGACTAGAGGCAGTGCAAAAAGTTAGGGGAGTGCAGTATGTAACTCCCTCCCGATGCATTATATACAAACAGGAAGTACAAATATGCAAATAGAGATGTAATTGATTGGCCTCCTAGGGATGGTCTAAAAAGTTTCAATACAGACTGATAGTATTGCAATATCAAGGGAAATATATCAATCAGGTTGCAGTGTAGAACAGATATTACCCCGCTGACTAAATATATATATATATTTTCCTGGGGTGGGGGGAGGGGCGGAGAGAACTGATCAAATGACACAAAGTTAACTTAAAAGAAATTCCCAAGTGCCCTCACCACATTATGTGGGTGGATTTGAAATTCTGCTGCACTGGGACCCATTTTGTAAATTTGTTTTTTTGCACTTATCGTGATACAAAACCAGCATATTACGCACTCACTACACCCATGGGACGTGGCGGAACTCCTTAGAGTGTCTCCTTACCCCAGAAGGAAAGATGCATCTCTCCACTGAGGGTGGGTGTTGTAAAATGGGATTGCCGTGTTGGGAATCAGTATTGCGTCCTTGGTGGCAGAAAGAAGCTGACCCACTTCCTCAACTTCGTTTGGTAAGGTGACACGGGAAATACATTTAATATATGAAATACTCAACGTTATTTGAAAAGTTATTTGATGCATCACATTATAACTCTGCACAGCCATGCACAGATTTCTAATTTTAACATGCAATCAACAGAAAGGTATAGTTTTTACGAAGTCCCCCTCCCCTCTTGCGTACTACCTACTTCCGTCATAATTTTTGATTATTTACTAGGAAATAATGATGAAATCTTCACCCATTACTCATTACTGGCCCGTGTTGACCGCTAATCTGTATTACCAGCATAATGGAAATGTCCACCGGTACCTCAGATAAGATTATCCATGCAAACAGAGAAGAACAGGTCTTGGACCTGAACCTTATCATCGCACCGTTTGAATCGTAATCCATCCGCCGACTATCGTTATTTACGTTAAGCAAGCTTGTAAATATACGATGAATATATATTCGTCTGTCAAACGGGAAGAACCGCTCGGCGTCCACCGATGTTTATTGCTGGGAAATCCGCATATGGTGCTTGCGGGGTCCGCAACCCTGGCCACCGTGTGCAGTATGGTGTGAATGTTTAATCCTAAACCCTTCAAGGTCAGTCGTGCAGTAACAGTTATAATAACCGCAAACATCAGTCTGGAATACATAGGAGGAGCCGCGCTCGCGCAGTCCGTGCAAACGGCCCGCATACGGATGGGTTCAGTACACCCAGATACGGGTGACAGGCGATGCATGGGTATAATGTGGGCGCTTTCCTGGGGTGCTGATTGACACGGAGAGCCGCCGGGTGCCGAGCTGACGCGCAGCGGGAGGGAGCCGGCAAAACGGCGGCTTTTCCGCCCTTCCTCCCCGCGCTCCCCTGGCAATGGGCCGGGATGAAGAGGAGAGGAGTGGAGGTGAGCTGATGGGCATTTCAATATATGACAGGAGGAGGTGTAGAGCCAGGGAAGGTCAGTTCTCGGGATGTGAAAGATAATGGGGTATATGGTACAATGGGTCTGTGAATTTTATCTGTTTTGGGAGGGGGGGGGGCGTTGTTCATAAACTTTCTTTTGAATTTTGGAGAAAAATTGCAGCCTGAGATTGTTCTATAGTTGTCGGAATAGTGAACATTTAGACGTGTCCTCTTAACGACGGATCATTAAAAGTAATTCTCAATGAGTCACGAGAGTATTTTGCTTCCCGTAAGTATCATTGTACTGCGAGGTATCTCGTTCAGGAACTTTTTTTTTTTTTTTGGGGGGGGAGGCGGAGGATCTGCTCGACAGGGAGCTGAATGTGAAAAAGTGCTTTAGTATGTGCTGATTGAATAATCTTGTGTGTAACCCTAACAATTTTGTTGATTAAAAAATGTACAAAATCATAACAGTTTGGGGCTGTGAGGATGATGAGCGACAGGTCTGGTTGATTACTTGTTAATTACACAACAGAGTTGAATAGAAATTAGCTTTAAGAGGGCTGTTGTAATATGTTATTATGAAAGTGCCTGAATCCGGAGAATATTTGAATAAGCCTTTTCTCTCAAACACTGGAAAGATCACAGCGACGTCTGGCTAGGGGCCTAGTCACTCAAATATGGATATTTTCAACAGTGCCGCTCTCCATGTAAACGAAAGTTCCCTACAGTCATAATTGGCAGAATTACAAAATGCAGAATGAATTCTGCAAAAAAAAAAGTTTAAAATGGCAGAAGAGGGTTTGGGGAGGGGGGGTCTGTTTAGGAGGTAAGTGATTGGGTTGCGTGCAGCTTGTCACATGGTGACAGAATTAACGTCAAACTCCCAAAGTTATTTTAATGACGTGTTTAATGTTAAGCTGGGGGTGAAGGACTATGTTCAGTCTGAATACACAGACAGATATGCAAGGCTTCTGTTTAAACAAGTGTGGCTCCAGTGACTGTAATCTCTTGATTTCGCTAGATCAGTGCTATAGACATTATCTTATTCACTGGGTTTGCATAATTGCACAGAGATTGGCAGAATGATGGTAGTTGGTATTAGCAGAAATTATAGCAAAAATAATAGTAATTGCTAATTGTTGAGTTGTTAAGTGTGATTTTATTGATCTACATTCTGGTGCTGCAACAACTCATAAAACACAAGAGCAAGGAGAATACAGACAGTACACGAAATGGATGTTGATGGATGGATGGGTTGTGCTAATTAATGTATTTATGGTTTTACTTGGCTAGGTACATAGGCACTGACTTAAAACACGGTCCGTTTACAGCAGAACTGAGTATGAGTGCATTAGCAGGAAGTATTATACGGTGTTGTGGGGGGGGGGGGGGGGGCAATTCCCAGTGACTCTTTTTGGCACAATGGTATTTGTGTAGAATAAACTTTTTGCTGAATGCCTGGGTGGGAGCACATTGCCTCCCCCACCTACGCAGCATGCTAAGCGAACAGCCACCTGACCTGGTAATGTGTATGTGTGTGTGTGGGGGGGGGTTTCAGACCTCCCTGGGTGGTACCTGTCCTCGGCATCACTCTCTCCCACCGGGGAAATGGAATCGGAGAAAAAACCCCAATAAAATTGAGGCCAGGACAGGGGTCCGTGATTATCAGGCAGGAGCAGGCGTCATCCCGAATGAGCTCCGACTGCTGGAGTCAGACACAAGGCCAACATTAATTAGAGTCATATCCACATTTCTGGGGGGCTCTACGAGGAGCCGTGTCTCCCTTTGTATTGGATTACCTTCACAAAGGATACGCGGCCGGAGTCACTTGCCCCGCAGATCTACATAACAATGTGCGTATTATCGTCCACGGCAAGAAGCAAGTTTATCCGCGGCGATGCTTGTTGACACTCATGCCTGGAATGTATTATGGTGTGGCGAGCTCCGTGTCATCGGTGAGGGAGGAAGACGGCACACAGAGACGAACCAAGCCGGGGACAGTGCAGCCATTTGTGAGGCGTACGAGCTCAGGGCGGGAGGTGATGGGCGTTTTTAATATTCATGGGATCCAAGATTGGAGACACCATCTAGGTGACAGGGGCCAGCTGCTTTTGCGTGCAGGTGGATGAACTTGGCCGTCAAACAGATGTTGAAGGTTAGGTTGGCATCGCACACAAAATGCCCAGCTCACACATGACATCTTGGATTTTTTTTTGGATATCTAGAAGTTCATAGTCCATAGTTGAACCATGTTTCGTTTGTTTGTGGACGTGTTGAATTTACACTTATCTCACTAACCTCTCCCTTGCACTACGGTTTGCAGAGCCATGCACACTGACTCCGTCATCTGTTTCATGCGATTCTTCCGATCAATTGCCTGGGGGTAAGATCAAAGGTCCTCCTTCTTGCATGCGGACTGTTACCGGTGTTTGCTAGTGAGGGGTTCCAGATTTATCCAGAACACCAACAAGTCTCACGGATTATGTGTCAAATACTGCGTTTGACCTCATCCAATCCACTGCAGTGCAGGCACATTCGGAATATTCATGATAAAGACATTTGCAGCCTCACAGGTCCACAGAGGCCTGCATGTCTTCCCTGCACTGAATCAATATGCAATTTACAGCCGTCTCCAAGATATTGGCCCATGATGCCGTTTTCCCTTACTGAGAGAAGCGAGGAAACTTTTCTCACATCGGCCCTCTGCTCTTCAGCAGCAATGCAGTATTATATTCATAGCAATGCTGCTTAGCCACGATGCATTACATGCGACCACAATAGTGGCAGTGTCCAGTTGGCAAAGTTTAATTTTGTCCCTTTCGCTCGGTCAATCTTAGGAAATGATCTAATTGTTCTTGCAGTGTGAGAAAATGCAAAATGTGATATGAGAACAGTCCATTGGGCCCTTTGAGAGATTTGTGATGCCAAGGAACTGGCCTCCTGCACCATAGTTAGATGTTCAGCTGGATAGGAATTTGAGGGGACTAGACACTATATCCAGATGAGGTAACCGTAGTTAGACTAGTATTTGGGCAGGAAGTATAGGTGACTGGACAGTAGATCCAGATGAGGTAACCCTAGTTAGACTAGTATTTGGACAGGAAGTAGAGGTGACTGGACAGTAGATTCAGGTGAATTAACCACATTATTGTTTGGATACATCGCTGGGCTCCGGCAGGGTATTTGTGAAGGGCCCTGCACGCATCCTCCTGGTATGGTCACTCAGAAAAAGGTTTTGTGAAAATATAAAACATTTTTCTGTGGAAACAAAAACAGGCAGCCTCATTAATCTTTGGCTGTGGTTCAAGCAGGTGGCCTTCCACTCGTTAAAGGAATGGTACGGATCGATGGTGACGTCTGAAAGGATTCGGCCGCTTTGATTTCGGTGACCATTAGTACTTCCAGCGAGCCGAGGCCCCGGCCTGGATGTAGGAGCGAGATCCATCCATTACGCCTTCATAATGGGCATTCATATATTGTCAGCCTCAATACAGCATAGCACAACCATTCTAGGGATTATTTTCAATTTTTATCAATTTAGTGCGCGTAATATCATGGATTTTTCTTTGCACTCAGAGGTCTTTATAAACACAATGGAGCTGAAATTTACTGATGTGCACCGATTTAGAATCTTTCGGTCTGTACCACGAGCGGCGGCTGAAGCTAGGGGGCGCTGCATTTACTTAATGAATGTTTTATGTGTGCCGAGGCGCCTAACGCAGCTGGATTTTTCTTTTTAATCGTGCGACTTTGATTTTATATAAAGCAGCAGCAGTCGGCGGCACGTGCATTTTTATCCGGAGGAGTCTGAAGTCACCAACAAACTAAGAAGTACTGCTGATCTGGTGAGAAAATGTGCACGCCGGACTGTCTGACCGTAGTAACATCGTTTGCGTGTTTCACTTCCAACATAATGGCAGATGATAGATGATTGAGTCTACCCCCCCCCCCAAGGGTGTGGTATCCAGTGAAATTCAGCAGCGTGGTGCTTTTCCAAGTGGAACCTGGTGGAGATCGAGGAGCTCGGTGCCTAAATTAGCTCACCAGTAGCTCCCTTCAAACTCTGCCTCTGATGACACATTGATGTTTTATTCATTGCTGTTAAGCTAATTAACCAATCATTTGCTTTGTGAGTGGGCTGGAGGTGGGCGGAGGCTGGGGCGGGGGGGTGGACCTTGCTGTGCCAAGCATCTCCCTGGGAAACCCATCCAAAATCAGGGCCGGGGAGTTTTTCATGCGTACAGGTGGGGGGAGGGGAGGGGGCATTGGTACTGAGGCAGGATGTCATGCAGCCAAAATATTTGCCGTTGTCTGTGTGATGCGTGTGTGATGGCGATGGCAGCGGACTTCCCCGCCCACGCTCCGCGGCCGCCGGCTCGGGATCGAGCCCGTGTGACAGTCGCCGACGCTCAAGACTCCATTGTTCACGCTGAATGCTAAAAGCCTCCAGACAGACATGCACTCACCTCACAATGCAGCGTGTGGGTTTTTTTTTTTTGTCAGTCAAACGGGCATCGCAGATGTGGGATCTCCGGTGCCCCCCCCCCCCCCATTCCCTACGCTAGGGCCAGGCCAGCGTCTGAGTGCCTAATGGTCTCGCTACAAGGCTGATTAGGGCAGGACAGGGCTCTCTGTGGAAAGCTGCCTGTCTGCCCGTTTGTCTGTCTGTTTGTTTGCCTGCCTGTCTGTCTGCCTGTTTGCTTGTTTGGCTGTTTGCTTACCTGTCTCTTTGTCTGC